ATAATGTCAGGGCATGAAGACAATGCCCTAGTTCCCATCTCTGCAGGCCATACACATTGTCGGAATACCACACCTTGTAACGCTGCATAGTAAGTACACATTGTTACAGGCCAGCTGATCACAGTGTTTGCAGAGGACCCCGAGGTCCAAGAAGGTCCATGCAGCTTTCAGAATTGTACCAGCAAGTAATTTGCCTTTTTTCATTCTCATTTTCTCATGAGCATACAGTCGTTTTTTAGAGGCTACATGATATATCCACAATCATGAAAAAAATATTAAAATATCCCCTTTTCCAACTAAAAAACATATATGTCAGGAGGAACTTCAACTAAAAAAAAACAACCAGATTGAGCATAAAAGTAAATATGAGTATCCAGCTATCTTCTGTTAGGCTTGGCATTAAAAAGACTTGCAGTAAAATAGAAAATAATGTCACTATTCTAATTTTTTTCTTTTTTCTTTTTTGCTTTGGAGAATATGGTTATTTTTCACACAAAAAAAGTCTTATATCTGAGTTTATTATCATTTAAAATAAACTAATAAATATTTTTAATTTTATCAGCTTTATTTCTGCTGTGGTAAGAACTTGGAACCCCCATAAACGAAGCTCTATTGGGTCCTCAGTAGTTTTCAGAGCGCAAAAGAGTCCTAAAACCAGGAAGGTTGAGGATCGCTACATTAACCCACTTGTCCTCCTGGTTATTGCACTTGAGCTATTAGAAATGTTTCCCAAACATATCAGTTTGTTCAAGAGAATTCCTTGTTCAAAATATCTACTTTTCACTCCTGCCTTCCCCCCTTAAGGTAGAAAGCGTACTATGTTGGGTAATTACCGCATGTGAAAAGTGGAGACGTGGAGTACATTTTATTTCTCCCCTAAGGCCCATTTTATTTCCACTCCATGGAAAAGCTTCAGAGCCTGGGAGAGGAGCCCATGTTAAGCCACTGCCCTAGAAGGCTGACTTCATGCTGAGGCAGCGCAGCCGTTGGCTGGGGACTCGGATGTACAGCAGACAGTATTTTTTGTCAGACCCATTCTCTGGGTCCCAAGCATTTTTAATTAAAGTTGTTCTATTCAATAGAAATAGCTATGTTCATTTCTCCTAGATCTTACAAATCAGTAGATACTACGAATGGTCAGGCTTAGGTCAGGATATCTAGCCAGAAGAGGCAAGTAAAAGTGGGTGCATGAAATGGAGCTTCAGGGATCGAACACTACTACTTTTTAAGATAAATGCATTGTCTTTCCAGAGAAGGTTGAATTTATTTTAAATAAATACCTAGGAGGTATTTTTCTTCTGCGGTATTTTTCTTCTTTCATTTTTCAATAAACGGAGTTAATCATTCCTTGAAATTTATAGTCAAGTGAAAGGAAAAGAAAGACAGATATTGAAGACATTTTTCATAGAGCCAGAGTTCTGGGACTGCCCTTGGGGTTACCAAGAGTACAGAGGTATGATTACTGGCTTCTAACACGCCCAGTCTTTTAAATCCCATTACTTCTTTGGTCTTTGAAAATTGAATTTCTAATGGAAACCCAGCATATAAAGCCAAACATAAGAGAAGTTGGAGATGAAAAAGGTGATCTCTTTGTCTATTTTGGAGCAGCAAGAAAATGGGAGGGAAAGTAAAATTAAATCAGGTCAAACAGTAATTGCACTAGAAAACTGTTGTTAACTGTTATATTTGACTTCAGCAAGTTGGAATGTGAAGACATCAACTTTGTTTCTTTCAGGAAAAATGACTTTCAACTCTCCCACAATTTAGTTATAATATAAGGATGTTTTTAAGGTCTCTAGCAGCTGTAGATTTTTTTCAAGCACATCTTTTAAGTTACACAGCTGCTAGAGTTCATGGTCACCAGCATCCTTGGGTATTTGGATCATGATGGGTGTGCAGTACTTATCCAACCCCAAATGTGGGTGTCACTTCGTATTGCCTCCTAAGCACCATTTGCTTTCCCTCCTATGACACTGTCACCATACACTGCAAGGTTTCCTTCTTGGTTGAATCCCCCTTAATTGTCTGTAAGGGCAGGATTGTGTCTGTCTCATTCACTCTTCTGTCTCAACTGTACAGTTGGCTCATGGGTGGTGCTCATGAAATATTTATTGAGGGAATGGATGTATGGATATCCAAAAGTGTAATTGTTTCTTTTGATGCCATACATTCTTGTTAATTTCCAGAAACTTATTTTATTCAGGGGTTACCAATTCCCTGAATGTTCAATGAAAACCTAGGTTTTTCTCTGTCCCTTTGTAGCTATAAGGTCTTGGGCAAACATTTTTGTACCCAAGTTTCTCTATTTGTTAAAAATGGTAATTCATTAGTATCTATTAATGTTCTTTCCAGCTCTGATATTCTTTTATTTCTCATCTATTGTATTTTTAATAACTGTTTGTTGTTGGTGGTTTGTTTGATTTTTACCATGACTATGTTAGTGCAGTGTTTCCCAACCTTCTCTCATGATGAGAATCACCTGGTGGAGTTGTTAAAACACAGGTTCCCGGATCCCAACTAAGAAGTGCTAAACTAGAATTTTTGAGAACATATAGGTAAAATTGCATACCTAACTTAGTGCTCTGTATATAAAATCTGTCTTAGAGCACTAGTTAAGTATACAATTTTACCTACATGTTCCCAAAAATTCTAGTTTAGCACTTCTTAGTTGGGATCCGGGAATCTGTGTTTTAACAACTCCACCAGGTGATTCTCATCATGAGAGAAGGTTGGGAAACACTGTGTTAGTGTATGTAAAAGTGCCTTATAAAATATTTAAAAATTCTATAAAACTAAAGATCTGGCATTAGCACCGATATGGATATTTATATTTGCTTGATTACCTATAATAATAAAAGCATAATATGCTAATTAGACCAGACAGCCAAACGATCTTTCAAATGTCATTCCAGACATCATTCCAGATATCCTTCCAGACAAAGCCTCTGTGGTGGGAGCTGAGGCAGAGATGGTTAAGGGTGATCAGGCAGGCAGGAGAGTAGTTAACGGAGATCAGGCAGGCAGGCAGAGGAGTTAGGGGCAATCAGGCAGGCAGGTGAGTGGTTAGGGGCAATCAGGAAGGCAAGCAAGAGGTTGGGAGGAATCAGGCAGGCAAAGGAGTTAGGGGCGATCAGGCAAGCAGGTGAGTGGTTAGGGGAAATCAGACAGGCAGGCGAGTGGTTAGGGTGATTCAGCAGGCAGCAAGTAGTTAAAGGTGATCAGGCAGGCAGGCAGGTGAGTGATTAGGGGAGATCAGGCAGGCATGCAGTTAGGAGCCAGCAGTCCCAGATTGCAAGAGGGATGTCTGACTGCCAGTTTTGGCCCCATCCCCTGGGATTGGACATCCTCCAAGGGGTCCTGGATTGTGAAAGGGTGCAGGCTGGGCTGACAGACCCTACCTCCACCACTGCGGGGGCCCCCCCCCCCCTCCCCGCACAGATTTCATGCATCGGGACTCTAGTGATTCTATGATTAGATAAGTGAAATTTGCCAGATTCAAACCACAACTTTGTTCCCAAAATGGTACTTCAGTGTGTGAATTCGAAGAAATGGCCTTGGTCATTCTACAGAAGGTAAACTGTCTTTACGTTTCTGGGTCAAAGCAGAGTTAGGCTTCTTGGCTTATTGCTGAGCTCTCAATACATTTTTATTCACAAGCTTAAGGTGTCATGTCTGAGAAAACGGATGCTGTACCTTCCCTTGTCATTTGGTTGAATGTTTGGTAGTAGTAATTTGTGATAAAATTACAGAAAATGTTCATGCTCTGAGCATATTAAAGGAAAAGTTGTGATGTGCTTGATACCAAATCATTTCTTTTCACCTGACCTTACAGCAGTACTAGGGAACTGTGAACTTGTTTACTTGTGAGAAATTGTTAGAACCTGGGTAACATCAATTCATTAATTATCTGTTACCTTCTATATATGTTGTGAGCTGTATGTAACATGACAATCTAAGGTGGTTGTGGGGGGAGAGTGCTTAAAAGCTAATCAGAGTTATTAAAGTATGTTAACGTGAATGTTCAGAGAGTAGATCAGGGCAATTAGAACATGATCCATTGGAGATGTAGTGGTTGACTTGGACCCTTCCACAGAGGTAGGAGTTGCGGGCATGCCTTTGAGGAGACATATATTCCTGTTGGGAGGGAATAACTTAGAGATGGAAAGCACAGGTTGGATAAAGGAAAGTGGCAAATGGTTTGTAGGCTATAAGAAATATTTGGTTTAGCTCAATGGATGGAGTGTCAGCCTTCAGACCAAAGGGTCCCAGGTTCGATTCCGGTCAAGGGCACATGCCCATGGTTGCAGGCTTAACTCCCAGTAGAGGGCATGCCTCTCATCATTAATGTTTATATCTTTCTCTCCTTCTCCCTTCCTCTCTGAAATTAGTAAAAATATTTTTAAAAAATTAGGTGTAGTGATTATATGAGTTTATTCTAAAAATAAAATACATATTTCAATAAAGAAGGGATATGACAAAGCCTCCCATAATATGCATTCACCTTTCCTCCCACTCCCCCCACCCCACCCCAAACCTCTCCAAATAAACCATACAGTGCAGTTAAAAAGAGTACTAAGTACTAGTATACTATGCGGTTGGAAGACAACTATCCCAGGCCTCCTGTCTCCCAGTCAGATTGCTACCTAGGAAGTAGTCTTATGTTGCTGCGTCACCCATTTTCATCCAGAGATTTACTGGGTGGAGAGCATCCCATTCAAACAACCATTTTGAGGCTATTTCCCGCTATCTAGCAAGTCCTTCCAGATATCACTTCTCAGTAAACATCAGCTGTTTGCCGTAAAGGAACTAAGCACAGGTATGGATTGTAGGTGTGTATGCAGTTATTGACTTTAATTAAGAAGAATACCTCATGTTGATCTCAGTGCCTATTGCATCGTAGGTGCCCAGTAAATTATTTCCTGCTTTTCTCACTTCTACTATTCAGTTTGTTGTTAATTCTTTCAACTTTGTCATTTATCTTTCTTTATTCTCTTGCAAAGGAGAGATTTAAGGAAGCTGAAGAAATGTACCAGGCTGGAATAAAGAACTGTCCAGATAGCTCAGACTTACACAACAACTATGGAGTTTTCTTAGTTGATACTGGTAAGTGAAATTAGAGAGAATCTGTTCTGTTGAGATTAGATAATTCTCTAGAGCAAAATGGCAACCACCCAAATAATGCCTCCGAAGTAAAATTCACTGGGCTTGGCAGGATGCTCACTCCACTGACAGTCACAGTGAGCCATGGAGCTGTCATTTACCTAAATCTTCAGGCTCCGTTCAATGAAACTGCCCAGTCCTCATAATCATATCTCTAGGGAAAACTCCCCAGGAGACAGGAAGTAGTCTTGATGATTTAATAGCTCTTCTTTGAGTACCATTTATACAAGTTTATAAATCTGTGATAATGAAATGTTCCTCTACAATGATGTATAACCTGCTCTAAATCTAGTTACTGGCAGATGGTAAATACTTTTCTGCAACTGATTTTTTTTTAAAAACCCAGAGTTGTTTTATTGTTTCTGGTGTGGTATACGTTATAGAAACTGTATTATTGTAATTGATAAAGTATTCTTATATGACAGTGCTATGTAAAGTACACTTACTCCATCCTATTTAATGCGAAACTTCTTGGAGCTGGGATTCTGTTTTCTTTATGACTGTTGGCATGTTATGAACACAATAAAGATAAAAAGACATTTGAATTTAATGCAAAAGCACTACTTGGTTCCCATTGACTATTATACTGCCTGCCACATGCCCTGCAATAAAATTTAATTTTAATTATTTTGTCAGTATGAAATATTCAGAAGGGTTTTATTTTGAAGGATGTTGGACATTCTTCTGTTTTAGAGAACATAAATTTACATTGTGATACACTAAGAAACTTGCCATATTTTTCATGTAAAATGGTTTTGTAGTGCCACCTACTGGCTCATAAGCAACATAATAATTATAATAATAATAATAATAATAATAATAATAATAATAATAATAAATAATAAATAATAATAATAGTAATAGCTGAAACCAGTTTGGCTCAGTGGATAGAGCATCGGCCTGCAGTCTGAAAGGTCCTGGGTTCGATTCCGGCCAGGGGCATGTACCTTGGCTGCGGGCACATCCCCAGCAGCGGGTGTGCAGGAGGCAGCCAATCGATGTTTCTCTCCCATCAATGTTTCTAGCTCTCTATATATTTCTCTCCCTTCCTCTCTGTGGGAAATTAATAAAATATATTTTCTTAAAAATTTACCATGTATTGGACAGATGCCAGGTGGCATTATTTTTTAAAATAAATATCTTTCAAAAATATGTGATTAAAAATTATTTTTTAGGTACAGCTAATACATGCTAATTTGTTTATTTACTTTTAATTTCTCTTTATTGTTGAAAGTATCACAGATGCCCCCTTTTTCCTCCGACTGCCCCCCTCCAACCCACTCCTACCCCCTCCCCCGGCCTTCACTACACTATTGTCTGTGTCCATGGGTTATGCATATATGCATATAAATTTTTTTGTTAATCTCTTCCTGCAATAAATGCTTATTTAAAGCAGTGTTTCAGGGTAATGCTATAGTATAGTAATTGAGACAGACCCTTAGAAATTGCTTCAGGACAGTTTTCTTTCTATAATAGCCAATTCCATGTTTTGGCATAATGAGTAGCAACATATCTTTATAAATAACAACCACTAATAATCTCAACACATCATATTAGCTAAGGTAATGGCCAGAAAACACTTTGACTAAAATTAATAATATATAACATATATATTAAAAGAGATAGGTTTTAGTTTTTGTTAGGGTCACCGAAGAAAGAACGCATGAGGCCAAAAGAGGTAAAGAATTATGAATTATAGATTTATTGTTATATTTGCTAGCAGAGGGCTGAGGCCAAAATGGCATCAGCAGGGCAGCGTAGGGGGAATGAGATATTTATGTCTCTTATAAGGGATCAATCAGAGTAACCGGTGGGACCAGGTGCAGGTGGGGAGGCCTGGTGGAGGCAGTCCCTGGAAACTGGGTTAGGTTGTTTGTTGGAAACCAAAGGCTGTTAATCATGAAACCTATAATGAGAATTACAGGAAAATCACTATGGGGGGTGGAGGGGGCGCACAAGAGCCCCAAACAGAGCATAATGGGGTGCAAGAATGTGCCTAACAGTTTCTGTTGGTTTTTTTATTGTTAATTTCATTGGAAATGGGAATGAATAAATGGCTCGAAGTTAGGCAGTGGCAAGGAGAAGAATCCCGAATGCGCAGTAATTCACACGCTGAATAATGGACGGCATGGCTCTGTAAGAAGAATGATCTACATCAGAAGAGAAAGTAAACCCCTTTGTGTTCTATAATTAAGGCATGTTCTGCTCTTACTCTGCACCTCTGGTTATAGGCTCTCCTGAGAAGGCGGTGGCCCATTACCAACAGGCCATCAAACTTAGCCCGAGTCATGATGTGGCCATGGTGAACCTGGGGAGGCTCTACCGGTCTCTGGGAGACAACAGCATGGCTGAAGAGTGGTACAAACGGTAAACGTCGTCCCTTCCATTTTATAAGTCACCCTAAGACCTCTGTAATTGCCCATCAACTTAAAAAAATGTTTTTTTTATTTTTTTTTAAGTACAGTTGACATATTAGTTTTAGGTGATTCTACATTTATATACCTTACAATGTGACCACCACGATAAAGCTAGTAACCACCTGTCCCTGGGCTGTGGTCATGATATTATTGACTACAGCATCCAATTTTTAATTCGTTGGGACAGGTATATTATCACAATGCTAACAAATGTTGCCAGTGCAGGCAATACAGATACTTATTGCCAAAGAGAACAGTGCAACGCTGTCGGTGATATCCCAGTTAATGGCTTTCTTGCCTGCTGGTTAGAACATGGTGCTAAACCAAGGTTGGAATTTAACTCCCACTGTTTTCTGAAGTGATGGGCTGCAACCCAACACACCAATAGCAGTTTCAAAAATGGATATAAATGAAATATTATGCACACATCACAAGTCTATCACCATTGATGGAATAGACCCTGGAGGCTCAGTACCACCCTGTTAAGCCACTAGAGCTGTTCATATAGTCAAGAGAATGGCACTGCGATGTTCTTTAAACATTCTTCTTGATATAAAAACAGAGATCATATTGGCACAAAATCTCAAACCTGCACAACCATCCCTAAGTTTTGACCTTTGGAAATGTGCCCATGAGAAGAAAAGCATTAATTCACCTTTCTTAAAACTCAGCGCCCTGAAGGTGGCACGCAAAGCAGAGACACTGTCGCCTCTGGGAGCACTGTTCTACAACACCGGCCGATACGAGGAGGCCTTGCAGATTTACCGGGAAGCTGCAGCGCTTCAACCTTCTCACCGGGAGCTCCGTCTGGCCCTGGTGAGTGCGTGGGCTAAGCAGATGAGGCTGGGAGCAGACGCAGAGTCTGCAGTTGAGGGAGCTGCAGTCAGTAGGCTCAGAATGGGAACCGGAATTGCTATACTATATCTATGTTATGAATATTCATTTAACCGCTGTTAGAGCCATTTACACAAGACATGGATACTAAGAATACTTTTAAATTTTTGTTTGGAAATAATTTTAAACTTGAAAAAATTTGCAAGAATATAAGTAATTCCCATATCCTCTTTCACCCAGATTGATCTGTTTTCAGCATTTTTATGCACTTTTTACCACCTTCTCGTGTATATATGTATGTGTGTATGGCATATTTGTATACATGTGCATATTTAGGCAAGTATTACGTGCATATAAATATTATTAATAAATGTCATTTTTTCCTGAGCCAAAGGTCTCATTCCCTTGATTTCTAAATAGTCAGCATATAATTCCTAAGAATAAGGACACTCAAACATAACTACGGTATTTTTTTTTCAAAGTCAATGAAATTAACAACAACATTTTTTTATTTCAATTTTGGATCCATACTTCTTTTCCTTAGATTTTGAGCACATGAAACTTACCTTGTCACAAACACAGGAAATCATTTCTCTTTTGACATAGTTAGTCAACTTTTTAAAAAGGCACAAGTCATTTCATTGGATATTTTTAACGTTCCCGCCATTCACATGGAAATGCATGCACATACATGAATAAGCAAGCAACAAAAGGTAAAGCCTCAATGCTGTGGCATGTTGCCCCTCTCTGTGCCACAAACAGATGCTTGGCACTGTTGTCTAGGGTGTTTCCCAATGCCTCCACTCCAGGATGCTTTATTTGAAACGGTAATGATGAAATGTCTCTAAGCCAAGGTCTGTGTGGTTTTGCAGGCTCAGGTTTTGGCCATGATGGGTCAGACGAAAGAAGCTGAAAGGATGACCAATCACATTGTGTCAGAGGACACCGGATGCCTCGAATGCTATCGCCTGCTGTCAGCAATCTACAGCAAGCAGGAGCAGCACGACAAGGTAGAGAGGACACTGGAGTTTCTTGGATTCGTGGGTAGAAGGTGGGGACCCCCTAAATGGGCTCCAGGCTGCACAGTAACAAGGCTGAGCTGTCTTGAATATCATCAGTTGGCATACCCGATCTTATGGGTGCTTTTCACAGATATCCCTTTAACTCTTAAGATATCATCCCCTTGACATATGTGCCTGGCTCATTTTTGGTCTGAAGATTTTTATATGGTATTATTTCCATTTGTTTTCAGCTAATATTAGGAAAGGTAAAGACTAACATTTGTATACTTTATCGTTTTCCATGTTCTTTAAATATTTTTTATACAATCCTTACAACAAACCTGTAAGGCAGGTCATTAACCCTGTTATTGTTTCTCTCCATTTTATATAGCCTGTAAATTCATGAAGTAATTTAACAAAATACTGATTGATACTTACTATATGTCAAACACTGTAGTAGGCACCAGGAATAAAGTGGTATGACCAAAAAGGAAAAAAAAAATCATCACCCTTGTCCTCATGGAATTTACAGTAGACAGGAGTTTACAGGAGACACAGATTGAACAAGTAATCACAAAATCAATGTAGTAGAATTATGGCTGCGCTCAGCAATGTCATGAAGAATGACATGGTCCCTAATAAAGATATAATCGGGGGACCTGAGTGGTATTGGAGGTCTGTTTCCCTGCAGAGTGATGTGAAGTTGAGGGCCCAGTAATGAATAGGAATTATTAGATAAAAGGTGGGCAGTGAAGAGCATTCCAGGCAAAAAAGCACATGCAAAAGCCCTGTGGCAACAGCCATTAGCCTGAATGAGGGATGGGCATGAGGGAGCAGGGTGCAGTGTAACAGGTGGCTGCAGAGTATGTTGGAGACTAGACCTGAAGGCTTGGAATCAGGACAAAAGTCTTGTTTCTTATCCTGAGAGAAGCCTTGGGGTTTTAAGCAGAAGAGCAACACCATCAGGTGTGTGCTTCGAAGAGATCTCTGGCTACATGGGCTGGAGTAGTGCATAGTAAGGGCAGAGTTAGCACCAGATACCGAAGCAGAGGCTGTGGGAGGGTTCAGATGGGCACACAGTCAGGGAAATATTTTGTTTTCTTTCAACAAGATCACACAACCTCCCTGTAAAGTGATTCAGGGACTTGTCATTGTCACTAATATAAATGGAAACCTGGAGCATAAGGAAGTCACTTCATCAGAGCTAAATTGTTTCTCGATGAGAACATTAGAGAGAATGAGGAATTGATCGTCACTCACCACCCCAGCTAGTTCATAAGAACAAAAAGTAGCCCTAACCAGTTTGTCTCAGTGGATAGAGTGTCAGCCTGCACACTGAAAGGTCCAGGGTTCGAGTCTGGTCAGGGGCACATGTTCAGATTGTGGGCTCCATCTCTAGTGGGGGAGTGCAGGAGGCAGCTGATCTATGATTCCCATCATTGATCTTTCTCTCTCCCTTCCTCTCTGAAATCAATAAAAAAAATGTAATAAAAAATAAAAAGACCTGGAAAATTTTTGAAAAAAGAAAATAAATCTACATTTATTCTGTCTTAATTTCCAACCCATGCAGGCACTTAGTGCTATAGACAAGGCTCTCCAGCTGAAACCAAAGGACCCGAAGGTCATTTCCGAACTTTTTTTCACAAAAGGAAACCAACTAAGAGAGCAGAACCTTCTGGACAAAGCTTTTGAGGTACAAACACTTAGTCAAATTAAGTTATTGAATTCATGAATCATATTTGTGAAGCTTCTGATTAATTTTTATAATTGAGCTTCTGGTTTTTGACTATTCAGAATCCTGTGATACCTCTGCATTGTTTGCTGAACTATCATCTTTAACTTGTTGTATGGAGCATTCTATATTTTGCCCTTATATCAGCTTTACCTTCCCTCTCTCTGTGTCTCTCTCCTTCTCTGTCCTCTCTCTCCTTTTCTCTCTCTGTTTGTATTTAATACCATCTCTTCCAGCTGGACTGGTGCCTGAATAGCTTTGGGCCCATCCACATGTCCTTGTACCACCCCCACTCCCTCCCCGTGCTAATTCCCACTCATCCACCAGCACAGCCTGGGTCCTCCTCCCTCAGGAAGCTCTCTGGGCCATCCTTTCTCCTAGTGACTGTGACGCCACTGAATGCTGAAGCACTTATGTCTCCACCAGTCATTTGAGCAGGACATCTATTAAGTTGTAGCATTCAGAACTTTCTTGCTCACTTCACTAGCCCCCGTGTGCGCTGTGTGCATGCATTTTGGCTCCCCAGTGAGGCTGCACTTCTCCTTGCGCAAAGGGTCTGATTTCTTCTGAGTTCTACACATAGTATGATGGAAAAAATAAAATAAAATAAATACAGTGTGATGTATCTTACAGGTGTCCAATAGCTCTGGAGTACAGCTGATGCCCAACCTGAAATAAAAAAGACGTTTACGAGTATAAATGTTACAGATACCAGACATTTCCCTTGTGCCTGATAAAACCACGAGTTGGAATTAATATAGTAAAAAAGTGACACTAAATATATCATGGGAAAATAAAATCTCCAGTGAGATTTTATTGTTTTCTTTAAATAAACTGTGGGTGGCTTTTAAAGTGTGATTGGAAAACACATTGTGAAGATAATTTGGTGAAAAATTAGATCCTTCGAACAGAAATGGTGGCATATTTCAGGCAGTACCGTGCATTTTCTCTTGCCTTGTGAACGTTTTCTATACCATAATTCTTAAGTTATTTATAACTAACATGACAACTTAATGATTAAATAATTTCTCATTTAATTCTGAACATTTACATGAGGTCTGTTTCTTTCTGTAGCTTACATATTGAATGGAAAACAAAAATATTGTCTAGTTGCTTGACCAGTGGGTCAAATATTCATCATAGCGTAGCTGGATTTCTGAAGACTAGGAGTACAGCCATTAGTTATTAATAACAGCTAAAATGTGATAGCGCTTTTATGTATGACTCACATGTATTTAGTAATTTAACATTCACAATAAGCATATAAGAAAGTCATGGTCACTGTCTCCTTTTATAGTTGGAAAAACTGAGAATCAGAGGTTATGACTTTGCTCAAGATCACACAGAGGATAAGAAATGGATAAGACCTTATTCTTCAGGTTTTTTAAGCAGATTTTTAAAAGCATATAGTTTCTTAACAGATCCTCATTACTTTATGCATCTGGTCAGTTGCCTTCTCACTAATGAAAATAGCAAGGAGTATTAAACTATACACATTCACATACATACACACACACAGGTACCTAGCTTTGTAATTAAACACTTTGTAAAGGCAGCACTTATAGCATTTAGTTATATTTAAGATGATTACTCTTAAAAAGCAAGACTCTGGTGAACATGCCTTTGATGCAAAACAACAAACAAAATGTTAAAAAAGATACCTCACAAGTATAAATTAATAGGATGCAGGTTATTTAGGCACAAAAAAGTATTCGAGAATTAAGTAATTCTCTTCAAAGGTTGAAGAACTTTCATATGGAAAAAAGAAGAGAAAGGCTTTCTAATAATTAAAACTATCCCCTAGTGAAATAGAAATACTTAAAAGAGTAATGAGCACCCTGCAAGATTTCAAGCATAGACCAAATAATCAGGTCAGTGATATTCTAGGGTTAAGCTGGTTAGGAAACTAAGATCCTATGAGTATTAAAAAGTAATATTAATAAAAAATAAAAAATCCTTACAACTCCATTTATAGTGAAAAGGGCCAAAAAGCACCAATTTCTTGCAGGTCAAGGCCAAGGGGAAGTGATTCACTATAATAGAAATCTCCCGGATTCCCTGCAGGTGACTCAGTCTCAAGTCTAAACATTAGCGCTGCAAGGAAATTACACATTTCCGTTTCCTGTACTTTAGACTCCTCTGCTTTAAAAATTAATAGAAATAAATGGAACCCCTGTGAGCCAGAAGTGGCTGTGGGTTTTCTTAACCATTTAGATGGTCACGTACACAGAAAGTGGTTTTCACAATTATGTCGTGGTAAAGGCGGATTCTTTTTGATTTCCAACCTGAAGGTATTTCTTATATCTTTAGAGCTATAAAGCCGCCGTGGAACTAAATCCAGATCAAGCGCAGGCCTGGATGAACATGGGTGGAATCCAGCACATCAAGGTAGGAGAAGAATCCACTTCCCGGTGAACCGGCTTTTCCAAGATGTTTTCTCTTTCTGTCTTTCTTCTCTCATAAAAGATTGAGAAACTATTACTAATTTTGCTCCCTGAATTATTTAAATACCCCAAACATAATTGTTTAAAAGTAAAAATTAGCACAGTTTATTCTCACTTTGTATTCTAGATAGTCAATATCAGGAAGCCATTTAAAGAGTAAATCTATATAAATTAGGTTCCATGGTTTTGTTTATCGCAAAGAAAATCATATGCACTTGAGACGTATCATGATGGAACAGGTAAAACTGCATATGTGAGCTAACAACCTCATTGGAGTTTAGTGTAGTTTATCTTCCTGCAGTTTAAGTCGCTGTCTAGAGCAAGTGTTACTTTAAATATTACGTTATTGTTTCTTATACCTAATGTATCTTTTATTCTTTAACCTTTTACTGAAAAACCAGGTTGCTTGTTTGTGGTTGTTTTGTTTTGTGAATTATTGAAAATGACCCTTTGGGAGATCATGTCTGTAATTAATAAAATCGGAGATAGATTCATTCGCCCATTCATTTGAGAGGCATTTATAGAGTATCCTTTGTGCCAAGTACTCTTCCAGGCACTAGGAATACAACAATGAATAAAATAAGAAAAAATCCTGCCCTCTTAGAGTGAACATTCCAGTAAGTAAATAAACACATAAATACATATTTATACACATAAAATATATCAGTTGGTAATAAGTGCTATGGAGAGAAAGAAGATAGGAATGTCAGGGGGTAAAGATTCAAATTTTGAATTATAGTGGTTAGGGAAGGCCTCAGTTAAAAAGAAAGTAATATTTGAGCAGAGACCAGAAGAGAAGAAACCATGTAGCAACAATAAAGAATGATCATGTGCAAAGGTCCTGAGGTACAAGTGTGCTTGCTGTATTTGAGGAGGAAAGTGAGAGAAAATGGTAGGAGCTGGGATCAGAGGAGTCAGGGTCTAATCATGCAGAGTCTTGAAGGGGATTATAGGGGCTTTAGCTTTTATGCCAAATGAGTTAGGCTCCTTGGGGGACTTTGAGAAATACCATGGGCTGACATGACTTTAAGGATCACTCTTGTTTAGCTAACTTATTTTCAGACCTCCATCAGTGACTCTGTGGCTAATTTAATAGAAGGACATTAGTGGTGAATCCAAGCATGACATTTATCAGGACCGCGTAACCACAGTTTTTATCTTAATAATGACCTAGGTTGTCTGGCAACATCTAGTTAGGAAACATAGAATGAGTTTACTTTTAAAATAGTAACATAATAATAATACTTAAATCGTATATTAAATAGTTGAATTTTCAAGTAATGTGCTCCCTATGTTTTTAGATGCAGTGCATCTGCATTTAAAGTAACAGGTTTAATTATTAATTAGAAAAAGTAAAACTATATACTGAAGAGTGTCTAAAAAGTCTATAAATACAAAGATGATAGTACATTTATTATACCTTCTTAGATTAACAAGTGAACCTGTTACTTTAAATTTTGAAGTATTGCCCCTTGAAAAGGTGTCTGGGAGTTAAATAAGGATATATTGAGTGTGCTTTTTAAATATAGTAAACACACTGATAAAAAGTTAATATATCCTGTTTTTCATTTTTGGTAACATTGTGTATTAGTTGAACAATATAAAGTTGCTATGTTTATGGTTTAAAAATGGTCTAATATCAGTGAGTCATGTATTTATATATAGACCAGGCACATGACTTAAATGTGGTCATTTTCAATTTTTTTTGTTTAGTTGGCATTCATTATTATGTTAGTTTCAAGTACACAATATAATGATTTGACATTTATTTACCTTACAATGTGGTCACCACACTAAGACTAACAAACACTGGACTTAACCACTATGCAAAGTTGTCAAAATATTGCTGGCTATATTTCCCTGGGATGTGGTCATTTTGAAGTCACCGTTAGAATGCAGGATTATCATTACGAGGCCTTCAGCAGCACTCACTCACTTTCTGTGTGTTGCATTGCCGGGTAGCATGTGCGTCAGGCTGTGTGGTCCCATACCTCAACCTCACTCCTTGCCTGAGCCTGGTGAAGCTTAGAAACGAATAAGGGCTTCAGTAGGGTGGGAGTTGGAATAAGGCTTTGCAAGGAGGTGACAGAGAGGTGGGATGAAAGGAGTTGTATCTTGCTCATACTACTTGGTAATAAAAAAAAAATGATGTTGTTTTGAAGTTTTATATAGGATGAATGGCAAAGCCAAAAAAGCTACCATATGATACGTTCTTTATAATCAACGAGTTGTATCAACAGGGCCATATCATAAAGTCCTACATTCAATCCTGCCTTAGGACATTAATGCATTTTCTAAATATATTTTATTGATTTTGTACAGAGAGGAAGGGAGAGAGATAGAGAGTTAGAAACATCGATGAGAGAGAGTCATCGATCAGCTGCCTCTTGCACACCCCTTACTGGGGATATGCCCGCAACCAAGGTACATGCCCTTGACCGGAATCGAACCCAGGACCTTTCAGTCCCCAAGCCGACGCTCTATCCATTGATCCAAACCGGTTTAGGCATTAATGCATTTTCCAGATGGCACTGTTCAATGGAACTTTCTGCAGTGATGGGAATGTCCCATGTCCAAGCAGAGCTACTAGCCAGCTACATGTGGCTGGATTTCAAATCCAGGATTTGAAATGTTGGTGCAAGTGAGCAACTGAATTCTTATCCCATATAATAAAAGGCTAATATGCAAATCAACTGAAGGGGGGGGGAGGCGGGGGGGAGGCGGGGGGGAGAGAACAACGGGTCTCTATGATGTGCACTGACTATCAGGGGGCAGACGCTCAATACAGGAGTTGCTCCCTGGTGTGCTGCCACGGAGGAGGTGGTGAGAGGGGGGTGCCACTAAGCCAGAGCCAGGCTCACAGCTGGCTAGCCTAGTGGCGGTGGCAGCATGGTGGCAGTGCTAAGGACCCCTCGGAGGGTGTCCGGCTGCGAGAGGGCACAGGCCGGGCTGAGGGAGACAGCTGGTGAACAAAGAAGGCGATGCCAGGGCACCAGGCCGAGACCTACATTCAGAGAAATGTCTTCGAAGACAATTTCAAAATCAACTGCAGTAGAAACATACTTTGAGGCCACTTGCAGAGCCACAAGTTCAGTTGTTTGCATGTGTGAGCTAAGCTTAGTAAATGGCAGAAGACACTTGGAAGATAAATGTTTGAGTTAAAAAAAATAATGTAGTAAATCCAGGTTCTCATTTGTTCGGAATTCTTTCTAGCCTCCTATCAGCATCAGTATTAATAATCAGAAATATCTTCATTGGGTGCATGCCAGACCCTGGGTTCCCAGTGTACAACTTCCTGTTCGGTCATTTCCACCCTCCTTTTCACAGATCTGCCAAGTGAATGCCGCAGGAAACAGACAGTGTTTACACAGAGCCTGGAGAGTCACTGCGTTATAACAATAATGATGGCATCAGAGTGCTCACTGTGTGTTAGGCTGTGCCTAAGCTCTTGACACATATTAATTCATTTGGAAGATGGATTAGCATCCAGCAAATATTAGTTGCTATTGTGTACATAAAGGATACTTTCACACCAAGAGAATACTACTTTAAATTGTGATGGAAATTTAGAGAGAGACCGGTTTTCATCCACACTGAGCTGTAACTAAATTAAATAGAGCAAATATATATATTTTTGGAATGGAAAGATCTCTAGCATTCTTAGTGCACAGTGAGTAGCAGAAAGGGGGCTGGAAAGGTTAATGCTTGTGACTGACTCACCAGGGACCATCTGGAACCAGGTATGCACGGTTGCCCGTTAGATGGGGCCGCCAGAGGACAGAGACAGGTGTCTCCAGCAGGTCAGGAATCATATACCTGCTCTCCTCCTTGAAAAGTATCCAGCAGGTGCATATTGTCACACACCTAGAATATTGGATAAATGTGACTCCTTATACGTACCAGTTCTTTTCATTTTATAAAAATCTTGCATTTGCATTAAAGGCTATATTATCAAAGGGCTGTATTGATTGCTTTTTGTTTGTTTAATCTAAAGATTAAAATAACTCCTACCACTAAGGAGGCATTATAGATTTCTAAACTATTTACTTTTGTATTATTATTCTAAAAGTTTCAAAACCATTTCCCCACATATGCACTTCTCTCGCTCTATCTCTCCCCCTCTCCTGTCCCTCTGTTCTCTCTCTCTCTCTCTCTCTTTCTCTCTCTTTCTCTCTCTTTCTCTCTCTTTCTCTCTGTTCTCTCTCTCTCTCTCTCTCTCTCTCTCTCTCTCTCTCTCCTTCTCTCTCTCTCTCCCCCCCTCCCTCCCTCCCTCCCTCCCTCCCTCTCTCTCCCCCTTTATTTCTTCTGCCATGGCTCCATTTGATTCCAGAGGAGGAACAGTACTAACTCTATGAAATGCCAGCCTCATACCCTGCATTAGTGGAATTGAAAATCTGTTTTCTGCCATTTACCCTATGGTGTAGGTTCTATCTTTCACATTCTCCAGCTGGCTTGGTACTTAAAACAAATGGATTCTCCAGAAGCACCAGCAGAGAAGGATACAATTACCCATGCACACAGGTTTCCTTAGTGAGGACATTCCTGTTCAGCTGGGCAGGAAGGGCTGTTTCCGAGTCTCCCCCATCTTCCTACAGAACGTTCTGAGGGATCAGAGTATTCTCTTTCTCAACAGGGAAACTACGTGTCTGCAAGAGCTTATTATGAGCGAGCCTTACTGCTGGTTCCAGACAGCAAACTGCTGCAGGAGAATCTGGCCAAATTGGATCGCCTAGAAAAGCGATTACAAGAAGTTCGGGAAAAGGATCAAACATAGCAGCATTGGATGCACCTGGACGGACGGTGGCTGGTGCCTCTGGAGGAGGAAGAAGTGATGGAGGCCTTGCTGTCACGTCAGCAGGACAGCCAACGGAGCTTTCCTCTCACTCCCAGGCCAGGGGGCACATTTGGAGACCCTCACTGGTAACCCTGTGTATGGGACTTGCATCTCCATGAAAAAAAAAAAAAGATAAAAAAGAACAAGCAAGAGCAAGGAGGCCCGAGAGGGAAGTAATACAACAACGTTTTACAGATTGTTTTTGGGGGTTTTTGCTTTAACTCCGAATGTCCCTCCATATATTTCTCCGCTTTTGCAACCCAGAGATCTGGTTCTCTCTCTTAGGCTAGCTAAGCTTTGATGTCCCAGTAATACAGAAATTGGAAATGCTATGAAGTTAGATCTTTGCTTTTTAATGGGATATTTCAAAGAGGATAATGTCTCTGAGATAAGCCATTTGGGACATTCTACCAAGAGGTGGCTCATTTAATTCTTCAGCACCAGGAAGGAATATCAAATAATTTTTTGTATAACCTTCCAAAATATGTGGAGAAAGGGGCTGTTGTTAAGTGAGCTTGATCTAATATTCCCCTAAGGGTATTGCTAGAGCCCTACGGAATAGTAAGTTAAATTCCACTCTGAAGCAAGTTTTTTCTATGGCCTAACATATAAAAAAGGAAGCTTCTGGAATTATGTATGGATATTCTTACCCCTCGGGGAAAATCAAGAATCTTGGTCCCCCTAATTCTTTATGGGAAATTTAAACTTTATTGCAAGTAGAGTAGTAGTTCTGCTCTAAGATTTCAAAAGTACTTTTAAAATCATAAATGTTTCTGCCACCACATATATTATTATTTTGGTGAAGGAAAAAATAGTATATTCTACTTGAGAATTATTAAAGATGTTAACTGAGAGAAATGTTCTACTTTATTATTTTAACATTTAGACATCATGAGATTTATTATTTTTGAAAAAAATATATCTAGCCACCTAGGAATCTTTACAGTATATATCACGGAAATCATCATAAACTATGGACTAAATGGAAAGAGACCTTTATTATTTTGTCTTCTTAGGCTGAATGAGAATTCTGTGCTTAAAATGTGAGTGATGTAAACCCAGAATTCTTGGTTCTGTATTTGTAATTTTGGAGAATTCATAGAGAAGGCTCAAAAAAATCTAGGAAAAAATTCTAAATTCATAATATAAAAAATATATATATTTATATTTTAAAATAAGGAAGGCAAAGTTGAACTTATCAATTGACATTTATTTTTTAGTGTTATTTATTTCATAACTTATAAAATATTTAATATATATATATACACACACAATTTTTTTTCATTGTACATAGTTGTTTTAATAACAGCTTTTAAGACCAATCATACAAGCATTATAAATCTAAATTACAAAGCAGTTAAGTTTTAATAGCACCTCAAAAAAGTTGCATTGATTATTCATTTGCTAAAGTTAAAGAAATGGGGCTCAGCCTCTTCAGGGTTTGGGTAGTAGGATATTTTGGTACATATTTTGAAACTGGAATACCTGGTTTTAATTTGGTCATCATCATAAAAAATAAAAATAAAAAACCTCTGGGCAGTGCTATTTACAGTGCTGAGCCAGGTTCCATGGAGATACAGTAGTTTGAAGGCACACATATTTCCCATGCTTAGGCCAGGGTATGGAAAAGCAAAACAAAACAAAAATTAATAAATAAAACAACAACAAAAAAAACCACCAAACTCTTCTGCTCGTTTTCACCCCAGTATCAGAGAGCAGAGACCCTGTATGTTTTTTTTTGTTGTTGTTGTTTTGTTTTGTTTTGTTTTGTTTTTGTGTGGTTTTTTGTTTTTGTTTTTGTTTTGGCAGGAGTCAGTAGGGAGAGGGAAGGTCAAGGTAAATCTAGATAAAAGGGGGGGTGGAAACTTTTTTAGAAAGTGATGGTACAAGAAATATTTTAAATGCAAAGGATTACAGAAATTGCATTAGCATATATCTGTGTGCATCAATAATCCAATAATGTTTATATTACCATTCTGATTGTTTTTAATACCCTTTTAATGTTGTATATCAAAAAAGTTCCAAAAAAGGTTTCACAGTACATTTGAAAAATATACTATTATTATACTTGCCCCTAAAATTAATATTATGAAGCTCTGCCTAAAACTAATATCTAGGGCTTTAATCACAACTTTTTAGAATGATCTGTAACCAAAACTCACACCTATAATAGAAAGTTAATGGGCAAGACTGAGCCCCAATTTTTGAAAAACAATTATGCCTTACTTGTTGAAGTGCTGGGAAAGCTATGAGAGTACATTTGTTGGATTAATTGAAATAGCAATTACAGCCTAAAGTTCTCGGGCGGTGGGGGTTGGGGATGTTGGGGGTGTTGGGAAGGGTCACATGGCCTTCAGGAGACTTTTTCTGTCTTCTTTTGGGTGCTTCCCCACCCCAACTCCATGTCTGTTTTTGTTTTTGCTTTTGTTTTTGTTTTTCTCTCTCTCTCCCTACCTCCCCCCACCACCTTTCTCATTCTGTGCACATTAAAATTTAGCACTGTTACATTAGGTATTTTGTCCTGAGTTAATACCTTCACTGAGATGTGGCCAATGAAATAATTCTCATAGTTGAAATGGTGCCTATAAGAAAATAAATCACATTATTTTTTCAAGGATATTAACTATATTTTTAACTATTTTTGTTTGGTCCTTGTAACATGAAATAACATGTGGAATCCATGCTTATCACAATAAAAGCTGAGTGCCCTGGCTAGTCATGGAGGTGCATCCAGGTTGCCCTTCAGGAAGCATGATCGGCATGTGAGTTGATAGCCCCTTTCTGCGATGGAATGAGCCTGCTTCGTGGATGTGCAGTCTACACAGTCCCTCAGGGTCCTATACCCAGGAGCACCTTATGCTTGGTTGAATTGCCTGATTGAAATTCTTAATAATTTTGAGCAGGAGTCCTGCGATTGTATTTTGTCCTAGGACCTTACATATGTCGCAGGTGCTGGGTAGGAGACAGTGGCTAAGGAGTTGCTTTAGTCTGGCTGAACACTTGATCCAATGACCAGAGTTTCATTTGTTACTGTTACTCTCAGCATCATTTGTTATTTTTCTTAGCTACATTAAAGTTCCTTGTATACAGATATATGCTAATCCTGCTGCCAGTCTGTCAAATCTGTCCTTCAATCCTACCCAGAACCCATTCTCTTTGCCTTCAAAATCCCCACAGGCGGCAGGCCTTTAACATGTCCTTTGTTTGACACAGGAGCCATGAGAATGGCTTTGCAAAATTATTCAGGATTTTTAAAACGATTCAGTTCTTTTCCGTTTGTTAATGGCATTCATAAGACATGGCTCAGTGATGTAACAAAGTTGAACTAAACCAAAGATTTAAATTCCTTGGAGGAAACTTTATTTTAGAAACTCGTGACTCTATTATGCAGTTAGACCATAGGCTAACAACGTCAATGGGAGTTTATGACTTTTACAAAAGAGATGTTTATAATATTTCACAAAAGAGATGTTTATAATCTTTCTCAGTTTTAACTTTTAAGTCTAGACTAAAGTGAGCCAAAGAATCCTAAAGAAGGATTGATTTGTGGCACAATTGGTGGTTGAGGTTACCATTCTAAGATTGACAAACCAGGTGGGTTGGTGAGGTGGTTTTACACTTGTGGCAATTGAGCTATAATTCGACATGTATTTACAGAGTTCTTAATTCTAAGATGGACAGGAATTGCCTTGCCATTTACATGTACCCAGACGTGCTGAGTATATAAAACTCATATTTTTTTATGACTCAAAGAAGGTGTCCATGATATAGAGTTTATGCCTAGACCCTATAATTCTCTTTCTTTGGGTTAATTATACACATGTCAGCTTTTATTAATTATTTCTTAATTGTACTCGTTAGAATCAGTTTAAAAAAAATTTTGCTCTGATTTGTGATAGATTTGTACCTTAGATTAATAACTCTTTGGGGTATTAATAACAATAATCAAAGAAAATATAGTTACAGGTAGTTTGTTTTCTATTTTTACCCTGATTTCCACATCACATTTACTTGGGTTAAACTGTATGTTGGTATTTTCTAGTAATAGCAAAACTTATCTATTTTTAGCCATCTTTTAGCATTTAAAGAGAGAAAATATCTATAGGTTAATATTATAACTTTTTAAATTATTCTTGAAGTTTTCTATGTAAAAGAACAATATGTTAAAACACTTCTTCCAAAAGTAGCATTTTTTCATTATTTTTTAGTAATCGTGTAACTTCAAGAGAAGAAATAAAATAACTGCAATCAAAGGTATGGCTTAATATCAATGAAGAAAATTCACAACAGAATTGATGGTATTCCTATCTTTCATTGTCTTGTATAAAATGTTCCATTATTATTACCAAGGGTCCTTGCAATTAAAACCTTAGGATATGTAACTCATAAAATTAGCACCTATCACATATACAACCATTATTAATTTGCAAGTTTAGGTCACCATTTACCCCAAACTGGAAAGGTGTCTATATCCAGAAATCCAGAAGTTTCTTCCCATGCTCAGTGGTGCCTGTGGTGAATATGGTATCACATTTGGAAGTCTCAATGTGCATAATATCCTCCTGAGGTCATCATGCTGGTCTGTAAGGATGCACCAAGTCAGGAATCCAGAGGTCTGGGTTCCTCGTCCCTCCTCTGCCACTGAGGAGCCATCTCACCCTGGGCAGGTTATCAGTGTCTCAGTCATGTTTCTCACACATTTAAGAACTGGTTCTAAGAAACTATTAAGCTTTTATGAGTCTCCTGACCCAGATTGAAAGCCCTCTACATCAGAAGACATAATTGATAAGTGTTGCCCTTTGTTTTAGAAATTCTTAAGATAATCACTACAACAGAACACATATACAAACAACCTCAAAAGTGATTGGACTGCCCAAATGCTTTTCCATGGCAGAGAAGCCTCTTATTTTACATCCTGGACACATAAAAATTAGTGATTTTGTTATGTTTCTGGAGGGGAGAAAAAGATGTTTAAAAATGTCCTCCTCAGAAATTAAAATATCTGTAGAAGCCATGGCTTGCTTTTATGATGTGGCTATCAGTTGACTTGCTGTAATTCACACCAATGCCTCCTTTTTTCAGGGAAAAATGACTTGCATCATGTTCTTTGTTCATAATGCTTTTATTTCCTACTTTGATCAGTTGTATATAAGTATACATTTTTGTTATGTTTGCTGTGCCAGTTAGGAATATATCTCCCATGTAAGTCTGATTATGTACACTTTGCCTAGGTCTTTCCAAAATAAAATTTATGTAAATGTCTATTTTATATAAAATATGATGAAAATAATTGTCTTGTTTCAATCTCTGAAGCGTTCCATGATCAGTACCTATTGAAACCCATTAACTAGTCGGTGTCTCCTTTAAAAGTGAATAAGACCACCTTCTGTCCTTCCTCATTTATTCATTCATTGCATTGCATTGCTTTGTTCTGTGTGCTCTTAAGTCTGCTCTCTTTCCCATACGCCACAATGACTATATCCACACTTACTCTTTATACATCTCCTTCCTCATTTTGCTGAGTAGATAGATGCCTTCAGAGAGTAAATACAAGGTAGAAAACAGGAACTCTCTCAGCATCCTGCAATCCATCTACAAACTTACCTGCACCCAATACTTCCTTCTCTTCTGTTGCTGCAGTTGAACAAAAGGGCCCTATTTTGCCTCTTGTAGAACTTCATTCTATTCCTGAATCTCTTTTTCATCTTTAACTTGTTCCTTTTGCTGGTTCTTGTCCATGTTCTTCCATTTTACTGACTTATTAGAGGCCCAGTGCACGAATTCATGCACGGGTGGAGTCCCTCAGCCTGGCGGGGTCTTGCCCAGTCCTGATCAGGGCTGATTGATTGGACTGGCCGGCCAGCCGAGAGGTGGGGGTGGGGGAGTGTGGACCATGGGAAGCTGGCTGTGGGAGCGCACTGACCACCAGGGGGCAGCTCCTGTGTTGAGCCATCTGCCCCCTGGTGATCAGTGCATGCCATAGTGACCAGTCATAAGGGTCACTTGGGCTTTTATAGAGAGAGATTTTTAATTTCTTTATTATTGAAAGTATTAGAGATATCCCTCGCCCCCACCATTGACCCCTTCTAGACTACACCTGCCCACCCCAACCCCAATCCCCCTCCTCCCCAGGCCTTCACCACACTATTGTGAGTGTCTATGGGCTATGCATATATGAACATAAATTCCTTAATCTCTTCTCACCCACCCACTAACCCCCCTTCTGACACATATACAGGTAACCACCATCAAAATCATTTGAGGAAAAAAGCCTTTATTTCTCTTCATCACTTGCTGCTACAACATATATTTCTGTCATTCACAGCCAAACTATTTGAATGAATTTTTTCACCCATTTTTTCTACTTCATCGTTCAAATTCTGCATCATAGAAGTATCTGTCCCTGCAACTAATATTCAAATGAAATTGCTGTTTTTAAGGTAATCAATAATCCCCTTAGTGCTGAATCTTAAACCTTGTGGGACTTTGGATGGTTCTAGAGTTTAGATCAGTGGTTTAGCTGTGGTGGGAAATTTTATTTTTTACATAAAATATTATTTGTCCATAGGTTGCTCATTGCTCATGGGTTAGTCAGCTAATGCTCCTAATTTTACAACACTCCTTAGAATTGGGGCTTTCATCAAGAAACTTGGAAGTCTTCTAACAGCAAATCATTAGTCTACCCTGATGAAGGTATGTTCAAATTAAAGGCAAATTTACCAGACATCACAAGTCTAAATTAGGGTAATCCACTCTTCCCTTCCCTGATGTCCTTCATTTTCTAATGTTTATTTTTTAAGTAAGAGAATACTTTCATTTGAGCACTTGAACATCTCCATAATCTTAACTTACACTTAAACCATCATCTTACACATTTAAACCTAAGTCTAACAACCTGACTATTGAAAATTATGCAACTTATACTGAACAGATATTTTCCCATTTCACGGAAAGCCATTATTTTGTTAGGCCTATAAGAGACCAACCCTTTATATAGAAGAACAAGGTCTCACTTGAGGCTGTGAGTTTAGAACTTTGGGGGGAAATGGAGCTGTGCTGTAGCAGGAAATGAGATAGTGTCCAACCCCATGGAAATTTCTGGTTAGAAACAAACCACTGAAGATCCTGCCAAGCTATATGCACTGTATGCAGCAGAGTGTGGGGGGCAGGTCTGCAGGCCTCCTGAAAATCTTAACCATGAACTTCTACTTTGTGGATTGGCACAGCACATGTTCATTTTTTTTTCTTCTATATTGTAGTAGTTTTAATATGACTTCCTTTTGCTAAGAACAAGAGGAGTTGGGTCCATTTGAAAAGTCTGATCTTTTATTGTGCCATTGGGGCCAGGGATGGTTATGGTAATCTTTGTGAGAAAACCACAGTGAAAGCAAACCTCAGGGATGAAGATGATGAGGGCCATTGGTCAGGCTGCCACCTTATCTGGAGATCTCCTGGCCAGTGCTCAAGTCTGGAGGTGCAGTGGCTTCTTTTTACAAAAAAGCTGCTTACCTAATCAAGCCCCACCCCTGTGTCCCCCAGACACCCAAACTGGAAACCCAGGTGAAACTGTCATCTAAGGCATCTTTATTTAAAGTGACATTTGAAATAAAATGGTGCTACTCTCAAAAATAGTGCAGTCCAATAGAACCATCAGGAAGGAAGGCAATGTTCTATATCTACACTATCCAACATGGTAGCCACAAGATGACTAATCCCTTGAAATTTAGCTAAATTTTAAAAATTAATTTTAGTTCATTTCAAGTTAAAAAACCACATAGACCTTATGTTCACCATATTGGACAGGGCAGCTCTAGATAGTTCAATGTAATAAGACTTGGGACACAAAAATCACAGGAACAATTTTCGAGGTCATGAGACAAGGTTGACAAGTGTGCTCCAAGTCTGTAAGATCTTCATCAAAAGCTGCCCATTCAACTTCTGCAGTCACAGAGGTCATTGTCCCCACTGATTGTCACCTGTCTAGTCCTATACCTGCATCCCCTATCTTCTGTTTTTCTGTTCATATCTGTTTGTAGGCATGTCTGCTAACCCTGTCTACAGCCCACTTACCACCTCAAGGAACTTTTATCTCTCTTTTACACAGAATTGAGACAGCTGAGCCAAGTTAGTTGATTTATATAGAATGTCCACTTAGCCTTGCCCTAATTTTTTTTGATAAATTCTAAGTCCATTACAAATTCTGGCTCTATTCTTCTCCCAATCTCAAGCTAAATTGTTACAAAATAATATTTATGGGGAAAGTGCTGACATGATAGTCTTAGCCATGAATTTATTTTAATAACCTTAAATGATGGGTCATATAGTTCTGGTCCATCCCACTGAAGCTGATCTGACTGCCATCCAGAAATGTAATGACATAAATCTGATCTTTCATATCTACTCTATTTGAAAACTTTAATGTCAAAGCCTTTAACAAGCTACTTAAAAGTTAGAGCAGTACCATAAAGAACTCATTAGGCCTTCCTAGGTCTTTCTTCTCTCAGAAGTGGGCTCTCCTGTGTCTTGTATGGGTGACCAACTTCCTTGCCTGGCGTAGGACAGAATTCACCTGTGTTGAGCCTTCTAGATCACTAATCACCTTGATCACCCACCTATCCCTTAGGGACTTGTGCACACATTTGAGAGTCTCATCAGCCTTGCGGACACTTAGCATCTATCTTCATAGGGCCAATGGCTGGGCCTATGAAACCCGAGACCGCCAGAGGGCTGCAGCATCGGGATAACCAGAGCAGGTCATTCTGGGAAGTCTGGCAGCCTGGCAGGTGCTGCCCATCATCCTGTGGGCGGGAGTTAAGAGCTCTGTAGGCAGACAGGCGCCTCCAGGAGCACAAGGACCTGTGGGGGTGCAGACTAGCTTCTTCCCTTGGTTTTCTCAGCCTGAGACACAGGAACAGAGGAAGACAGACAAGTCACCGCATGGGCGCCATGCCAGCGTTGGCCGTGTTTGGGGGCTGCTGTTTCTCACTGTGGGCCTGTCCTCAAATCCAGGTGAGCCTTCCCTGGGCACCCAGGGTGCAGATGCTAGGGCAGGAGCCTGCACACTCCTCAGGCTGGAAGAGGTGAAGGGGAGGGAGACAGTGCAGGCCTAGATGTTCCCAAAGAATTGCCTGGGCCCAGAATTTCCTCTTGAAATTATTGGATTCTGGAGTTCAAGTTTGTAGGCACATCTGTTAACCTTGCTCATGCTAAGCAGCCTCCTCCAAAGAAAAAGAGCCAAGTCGAAGTAACTTATCCTATATAATAAAAGGCTAATATGCAAATTGTACCCTTGGGAGTTCCACCACTCGCTATGATGTGCACTGACCACCAGGGGGCAGCACAGAAGGAAGGAATGCCCCAGCTGGCAGCTGGAAGCCCCAAATTAGCACTGATCACCGGCCAAAGCTAGGGACCCTACCCATGCACAAATTTTGGACACTGGGGCTCTAGTAGCCAAATATCTGTCTTCTGGGGAGACATATGTTGTTCTCCAGTATCATTATAGAACCTAAATTATGTACTGCTCACCCTCCCCCAGAATCAGTTGCCACAGGAAGAGCTGGTGCATCCTGCCCCAGGTGTTTTTCTTGTTAAGGCAGGTCAGGCCGCAAAGGGGCAGGGGAGACCTAAGGCAAGTTCTTGTCAGCATAACCTGAGTGGGGGGTGGTCTCAGGAATATTTTGAGAAAAGAACAGGGATAGTATGCAGCTGAATGATGTCAGAACATCTGTACAACGCTAGGAAAATCTGAACATGAAATATTGATACAGTGAGCCCATAAAACACATATGCTCTCCCACACAGGACTAAAGTGTGGGATTCAAGCAGCTGATCTAAAAAGTATGGAAACTGCCTTGGAATCTGAGTTGTTCTCTGGAGTTACTAGTTAGAGAAATCCAACAGCTGGTGGACATCCATGGCAGATCAGTATAACAATAGCATTGATTTCTTAATGAGAAAATGGCAACCTATTTCTTTTTTTTCTTTTTTTTCAAATATCATCATTCCAGATTAACAAGTAATTTTTGTCTTGATCCCACTAGACTTCTAGGCCATATTAAATGAGTTGATTTCAAATATTTCTGGAGTCCACATCCATGGGGAGATGTATGTTAGATGTATCCACAACTTTTGTCTTGGGCAGGTCTCCTTGAAAGTAGATGAGCACCATTTCTGTGGAGGAAGCTTGATTCAAGATGACCTAATAGTTATAGCAGCACACTGCCTTGCTAGCCTTGAAGAGTAAGTTAGGAATTTTCATCATTTGTTTAACTTTGATTAATGATGATAGATAGAACTGAGAGATTTGATGATCTAAATACTTTTTAAGGTTAAATTTCAATTCCTTTCTTAATCTACCCACCTATTGGCCTTCCTGATCCTGAGAAACTCTGTCTGTCCCAAGATTTCCCATGCTTCCTGCCTTATAACCAGAAATCCCAGAGACCCCAGACATCATCTATAATTTGTGGAGTTAGTGGTGGGAAAAAATAATTACCTATTCTAATAAAGTATTAATATCAAATATTAAGTGGATGCTCCAAAATTTTAATAATCTGAGTTTTAGTCATTAGGAGGGCAATAACAGATACTTGGCTAGATTAAAAGTGAGTACTAATAAGAGGGGGAAATTGTAGTTCTAGAAACAACTTTTATACTTTGTTAAAAAAAAAAAAATGGAAGTGCATGTGTAGACTGGTTTATGTACAAAAGAAGAAAAGATGCCACAATTAAATATTTTACACAGAAAGACAGTTGAGGTAGGGGAAAGACCTTCACAGAATGTAAACATTATGATTAAAAACATGATTTTTTATAGATCCCTATAATTTATAAGATCTTATAACAATTAGTAATCACTAATAAAGGTATATTTTCTTTTAAGACTTTGTATTACTTACAGGTACATTAATCACTTTTCATTTAATTGCATGAAATCAAGAGTTTTTCCCAGGGGAAACAACTGCTTATTGAAATATTTTTCTTTGTTTTTAGGCAGCAAATTAAGAGTGGTTATGATTGCTGGAGAGTATAACTTCTTTCAGAAGGATAAGCAAGAACAGAATATTCCTGTATCAAATTATTATCTATCCTGACTACAACAAACTTGGATATATGAATTATGATATTGCACTGCAGGATCTAAAACACAAAGTCAAGTTTGATAAGTAAAGAGAGTTAGAATATAAAAAAAAAATGTAATGCAGAAAACTGTTTTGTACTAGTTAACTTTAATTTCTATTTACTATATATCTAGTAATATTAGAATTGCTACTTTTTTAATATTTTGTTTAATGTACAGAAAGCACTGTAAAGGGCATAAGTCCTAGCCACTCATTTTATGCTTAACTTAAGTAGCATTTTAAGTACTTCAGTGTCTTAACTGGGCTATACTGTTGACCATCTACCTATATTCAGCTCTAGCTATAGAGGAAGATTTTGTTCTCTACATCTTAGGAGGAAGGTTTTTAAAAGAGCCAATAAAACACTAAGGTTGGGGTATTTGAACCTTTTATCAAAATCATTTCCTTTCTGTCATTATTGTGAAATAGATATCTGACACACTCTCAGCCCAGGTTAAACAATCTGAATAAAGTATTAAAAATGTGGGGATTTTTAATGCAAAAAAAGGAAAGTGTTCAGTGACTAAAAACAACGGAAGAGCACAGATCTAGAGTAGTTTTCCAGACACTGAAATAAGCGACTATACTTGAAGCATCTACTTGATTTTTTAGAACCTAGAGCTTTAATTGACCATGTAGGAAGCCTGCAATAGAATAGGGGTCAGGGATGGGAAAGCTGATTGGAGCCTTTGTGTACCTGGAACTTCCTGAAAGGTAATGCTTTGGAAGTAGAAAAAAAAAAAGAGGGAAATACAACACACAAAGTGAGAGAATAAGGAAGCTTACTTGCTTGAACCTTGGCTCTGGATGGAGGGTTCTCAAACAATCTGTAATCTTGAGCAAGCCCTCATTTGGGGTCATGATGAAATTTACATTACCTGTGGTCCAAAACTCCAAGCCAAGACCCTAAGTTCTTAAAGGGGAGTAATCAGGGCTTCTGGAAGAAGCAAATGTCAATCTTTTCTGAAGAGGATAACCTTAAATCTCAGCTTTACTATCCTCCTATAAAGTTTTAATGAATGTGAACACAATTAAATCAAAAGCATGCAGAGAAAGTTGCCACCAAAGAGAGAGTCAGAAATAATAACTAATATTTCTATGATTATGGATGTTAAAATAAGGTACATAATATAAAGTAATTTTTACTTAAGTTTATGTATATAAAATCCTATAAAAAATGACTAAAGAACAGGAAACTATTAATTTAGGAGGAAGATTTTTAAAAGAGCCAATAAAACACTAAGGTATAATATAAAAACATAAGTGGAATTGGAAACAGTAGCTGAATTAGTTAGCAGATTAGATCAGGTACAGGGAACTAGAAAATCTGAAATAATTATTCAAAAGTGACAAAGAAAGAGACAGAGTAGATATTGTAAAAGTATTTAGTAAACATCCAATTTGAGCTTTAGAAAAAAATATATAGGTAATGGGACAAAAAGCAATAATTTAAGAAAAAGGTGGCTAAGGAATAAACATTACTGATAAGGCAAAAATCTTCAGATTTAAGAATTTAATAATTCCAAACTATGATATTAAAAATTATATATAGACTAGAGGCCCAGTGCATAAAATTTGTGCACTCAGAGGGTCCCTCAGCCCAGCCTGCACCTTCTTGCCATCAGGGAGCACTCATTCAATCGGACATTCTTAGTGCTGCAGTGGAGGCAAGAGAGGCTTCTGCCACCACAGCTGCTCCAGGCAGCCCTGATCTTGGCTTCTGGCTGAGCGGGCATGTCCCTGCAGGAGTGCACTGACCACCAAGGGGCAGCTCCTGCATTGAGCATCTGGCCCATGGTGTTCGTCATTCCACTGTTCGGTCGATTTGCATATTAGCCTTTTATTATAGGATATGTTATATTGAAACTATAACATGCTTAAAACATAGAGTGGATCTCAAAAACATCAAGAAGAAAACCTATATTACCAAAAAGGAATGACAATTAGACTGACAGCTAATTTTTCAACAGCAGGAATAAAAGTCAGAAGACCATAATACAAGATCATAAAAATACTAAGAGAGAATAACTCAAACTAGATCTGTATATTAAAAAACTATTGATTTTTTTCTGCTCCTCATTGTAGAAACACTCTATAAAGATTCAATTATGTTAGGTATTTCAATTTCCTTTCCTCAGTTCCCTTAATTGCATGTATTAGGTTTGAGATGTCTATTAGACATCCAAGTCAATGAGATTTTCAATCACACCACTCTATCAAATTTGTCTTGTCACAGTCACCAATGACCTTCATATTGCTAAATTCAAAGGTAAATTTCAGTCTTTAGCTTACTTGATAGGAGCTTTGACAGAGTTGTGCACACTCTCCTAGAAACATTTTCTTCACTTGAATTCCAAGAGTTCCTTGGTTTTTCTCCTACCCCTTTACACACTTTTCCCATGGTGATCTCACCCAGGATCAAGGCCCAATTATCTATACCAGATCTAGGCTTAAACACCATCTACTCGAAGAGTACTGCAATGGTATCTATCTAGTACATGTTCCTTTTATTATAGACATGCTGCTTGGATTAATAGGGATCATAAACTACCTAGTGGTTATCTGCCTGAATGATTAATAGGCATCTCAAACTTAATATGTTTAAATAAAAATCCTAATTATCCCCTACATTCTAAATCTGCCTTTCATCCCAATTAATGACAGATCTACCCTGCCAGGTGTTTAAGCTAAAAACTTTCTACTCATTCTTCTTTCTCTTGTTCTCTACATCTAATCCATCAGGAAAATCCTATTTCTTCTGCCTTACCTTTTCCACTCATATATCCTGTTTCAGTCTACAGTCTCTCTTGCTTGGGTTATTTTCAATCAACTCTTAAATGATCAGCTTCCTCTTTTGCACCACTAATGTTTATTATTAACCCAGCAGCCAGAATAATACTTTTTGAAATGTAAGTCAGGTTATGCCTCTCTATTCAAAACACTTCAGTGGTTCTCCATTATACTCAGATGGAAATCAATACCCTTATTATCTGACATCTCCCTCCTCCTAGCCCAACATCTAACCTCTTTTTTGTTTTTAACTGAACATTCTTTTGTTTAATCTACTCCAGGCATCTTGGCCTCCCCACTGTTCCTCAAACAATATGACATTATTCCACTACAGGGGATGTTCCATTCTGTTTCTTCTTCAAATGCTTTCCACCAAGCTAACTGCATGGGGCTTTCCCCCAGCTTCTTAAGACTGTTCAAATGTCACAGGCTCAATGAGACTTGTCATGACTGCCCTATTTAAAATTAGACCTCCCATGCCATCCTTTTTAATCCCCAGATTTATCTTCTTTATCCTGCTGTCCCCTACTCCAAACTCATACACACACCACACACACACACACACACACACACACACACACACACACACACACACACATTCTGCCAAGGCAGGGACTTTTTTTTTTCAGCTTATTCACTGAGGCCTAGAAGAATGCTTGCCAGACAGTAGTACTCAATTTACTATTGAGAGAGAAAAAAAACTATTCTCTATGAACAAGTGTACACCTTAAAATGTTAGCAGCTTTGGGCTGGTGGATTGTGGTATGTAGAATAATGGGTTATGTTTTTTCTTGTTTTACTTTTCCTGCATTTTTCTAAATTTTTATATAAAATATTTTTTTACAAGAGAGGAAAACATTGAATATATATGTAAATATAGCATTTAGGAGTAAATTGTAGAAGAAATTAAATCAGCCAGTATCATTTTCCAAATATATTCAGCATCAATTCTCTGTGAACCTTACGACTTTTTGTTGTTGTTTTTCAGGAATTGCTGTCCAGCCTATCTGTCTTCCCCATGGAAATGATACGTTTGAAAAAGGGATTCTTTGAATGACCAGTGGATGGGGCAAGATTTTAAAGAATAAGAGGCATCAAAAAATAAAATATTTTTTCCAGGCCCCTTTGCATGCCCAGTAGAAGGAAGAATTTCTCTGGCCATGAGTAATTCATTATTTCCTGAATTTCCTTTCCCCTGAGTTCTGACCCAGTGAAGATCTGTGTCTCTCTTCACTGTATAAAAGTCTATACTTGAGACTCTACGTAAACCTTGCTGCCAATGTGGTTAGTGTGTCAGATAAAACCTAAGGTAACTATAACAGATGAGAAGACTACAGCAAAGGGATAATCAGGAAATAGTAAAAATTGTTCAGTTTTATTATATTTAATATTATGACTTTTAAAGAAAAAATAAAGAACTTTATCAAATATTGCTTTATTGACTGATGTTTTCCTGTTGGGGAAACATTCGAGCATATATTTTTAAGGTAACATAGGCGGTAAAAACCACCTATGTTACCTTAAAAATAGGATGGATTTTTTTTATAAAGGTCCTTTATAACATATATGATTTTAGGAAAGAATATAATTCCTTAAAAAAAAAGAGAGAGTTTCTACAATTTGGTTAAACATCTATTTGAAATAGTTTTAAACTTGAAGTCTTATTACTATTTGTTTTAGTGAGGAAAGTTGTTGACTAACTTATCATTTCCTTCTCCATGGCATTGGAATATTCAAATGCCCTGCAAGAATTGGACTTTCTATCATGGATGACAGAATGTGTAGTACTCTGCTCAAGGGTATGAACCTTCCTCCCTTGGGAAGGACCTATTGAGGTCCACTTGTTTGTAGACAATGGAATCTGGATTCTTGCTGAGATAACTTCTTGGGAAGACAACTTCTTGTGCTAGAGACGGGGCTCCTTTAAAAAATAACCACAGGACATCAGTTGGCATTTTCCCCAAGGTGTCTGAGTTGATGGGTTTTATCACTCAGAACATGATTACAAATGGGTGTAATTTCTGTGAATTTTCCTTTATTTATTGCAACTCAAAAATTTTTTTGTACTTAATTATTTCAAGAGTACTTTGATATCATCTGGACTAAGCTTTAAACCAAAGCAAAAATATGGCTGGTTTTCAATTTGTAATTCATTGTATATAAACTCTTGTCTCTGAATTTATGAGTACTGACATAAAGTTATGTCAATTTAACTTAAATATCAGCTGGTTCTTCAAATTTATGTTCACATAGGTTTTAATAAAATGTATATCTTTTTGTATTTCTGAGATTTAAAAATACAAGAAAGGATTCAGAAGATTCTTTATCCATTTGATGTTTGTTTTATTTCCCCCTCTAGATTACTTAAAAGTACGGAAATAAATCCCTCCTCTCCCATTCAGCCTTATTCATTTTACCTGAAGACAGTTGGAAAATATGGAGGCTTTGCGATTACCTTTGTTCTGTGGCACTAAAATCTAGATTAAGAAAACAAATATGAGTGTGGAGATGCTAACCTGTCCTCAAGGAAGTTTCTATCTATTTGGGGAGACAAAGAAGTAAATGGACAGTTGCAATAAAAGATGGATTGTAGGTCAGCCCAGAGAGTGTCAGATTACCGAGGAGGAGCCTAGGGCTGAGTACTGAGGGGCCAGATGGTTTGCTATGCAAAGGGGCAGCATCTTCACAAGAAAATGGCACAGGGGCAGCCACTGCAGAATAAAGAGGCATGAGAAAACACAATTTACAGGACAAGTCGTTTAGTATAAGAAACAATTTGTTGTTGCTGTTAATCCTCACCCAAGGTTATTTTCCACTGATTTTCAGAGAGAGGAGAGAGAGAGGGAGAGACACAGAGAGAGACATTTCAGTTTGGTTGCCTCCTGCACACACACCAACCAGGGCCAGGAATTCAACTTTCAACTAAGGTGCGTGCCCTTGACCAGAATCAAACCTAGAACCCTCAAGTCTGCAGGATGTCGCTCTATCTACTGAGCCAAATCAGCTCAAGAACCAATTGTTTTCTTATTAATAATTTGCTTTATTGATTACACATTGAAGTGATATGTTGTGTTCAATAAAACCTATTATTAAAATTAATTTCACCAGTTTAATTTTTTTTAATGTGGCTACTGAAAAAATTTAGAATTCTATGTGACTACTATTTTTTCATTTAAAAAATAAAACTTTACTGTTGAGAGTATTACAGATGTCCCCCTTTTCCCATTCATTGTCACCCTCCACCCAGTTCCCACTCCACCTGAACCAATAGTTTTTAAAGGCCAAGACCCAGAGCACAGAACATAGTGTTCTTACCATCCCTCCCTTCTTCTAGCCCAAGATCAGCCACCTGGATGACGATTTGGAAAGCACTGCTTGCTGCCTTGGGGCCTGCTGAGCACCAGCTCTACCTCAAACCAGAGAGGCTCTCAACTCACTTTCCTTTGGTCTTCAGAGTAAGTGTTCTGTTCATTGCCATCACTGCAGAGGGAAAGTCTCTCCTGGTGGCACTTCTGTTCAGTTTTTATCACCTGGATGTGAAGATTAAAAAGCTTAACTGCCGAAACCGGTTTGGCTCAGTGGTAGAGCGTCGGTCTGCGGACTGAAAGGTCCCAGGTTCGATTCCGGTCAAGGTTATGTACATTGGTTGCAGGCACATCCCCTGTAGGGGGTGTGCAAGAGGCAGCTGGTTGATGTTTCTCTCTCATTGATGTTTCTAGCTCTCTATCTCTCTTCCTTCCTCTCTGCAAAATATCAATAAAATATATTTTTAAAAAAAAAAGCTTAACAAACTCTGAACAAAGGTTAATGATAACACTGTAAAATAGCAATGAAATCAGGCGATAACCATTAATTCCAGAGTCAAATGAAATTCAGAATGTGACGTGTACTTTATTTAAGTAACACTTCCTGCTGACCATCTTTTTTCTAATCTCCTGGTTGCCTATTTCTTCTTATTCTAACAATTAAAATGTGGCTCCTGGGCCACATATGGCCTTTTGTCCCCTTGAGTGTGGCTCTTCCACAAAATACCATGGCCTGGGCGAGTCTATTTTGAAGAAGTGGCATTAGAAGAAGTTTAAATTTAAAAAATTTGGCTCTCAAAAGAAATTTCAATCGTCGTATTGTTGATATTTGGCTCTGTTGACTAATGAGTTTGCCGACCACTGCTCTGAGTAAATGATAGAGATTTGCCATGTCATTGCTAAAATGTGTATACTTTTACTTTAGTATCTTTAAACAAAGGTATTTTATTGTAACCCAGGACAACCTACTTAGAAATGAGAAAACTCCATCTTAATTCAAAATACTATAAATTTGAGAACTTCAGTGTGATACATGATTTGAAAAAACTGCATAAATGTTAAAAAATCTGAAGAATTCAAAGAAAAGAACATTATAAATACTATTCAACCATAAAAAGAATGAAATCTTGACATTTGTGACAACACAGATCTTAAAGACATTATAATAAATGAAATAAGTCAGAAAGAGGTATAAGTACTATATGATCCCACTTATATGTGGAATTAAAATAAAAAAACTAAGCTTACAGATACAGAAAACAGATTGGTGGTCACCAGAGGTAGGGGAAGGAGGGTGAGCAAAATGAGTGAAGAGGGTCAAAAGGTACAAACTTCCAATTATAAATATGTCATGGGGATATAATGTAGATATTGTAACTATAGTTAATAATACTGTATTGCACATTTAAAAGTTGCAGAGAGTAGAATTTAAAAATACTTATTATAAGGCAAAATGTGTAAATATGTGTGATGATGGATATTTATTAAAGTTATTATGATTGTTTTGCAATATATACAAATACTGAATTATTGTATACCCCCAAACTAATATAATGTTATATGTTAAATTATACCTTAATGCCTCACAGGTGGTGCTCAGTGGTTGAGCATTGATTTATGAACCAAAGGGTCATGGTTCGATTCATGGTCAGGGCACATGCTAGGATTAAGAGCTCAATCCCCAGTGTGGGACATGCAGGAAGCAGCTGATCAATGGTCCTCTATCATCATTGATATTTCTCTCTCTCTCTCCTTCTTTCCCTCTTTCTCTCTCTCTCTCTCTCTCTCTCTCTCTCTCTCTCTCTCTCTCTCTCTCTCTCTCTCTCCCTTCCTCTCTGAAATCAATAAAATATTTTTAAAAGTTCAAAAAATATAACTTAATAGAAATAATATAAGAGGAAAAGTATTGTAGAAGTAGATATGTCAGATAATTAATAAGACTATAATTTAAAAAAAAAGAAAGAAAAAAATGTAACCCTTAGAAATTTTACTGATGAAATCTGCAAATACAATGTCTTGGTCACAGAACCTAAAAACATAAATTCCTATAAATATAAATTAAACATTATAAATTGTATAATTTAAAGATGACTCTACCATATGTCTTGAAATATTGTCCATAGCTGAAGTAAAAAATCAACTTTTTCCCTATGTTTTGGAAGATTGCAGACCTCAGGGAATAGTGTTAGTTGGAGGAACAGTGAGGATCCACTACCCCCATTTGAAACAGGGCAACTATGATCATAATTGATATGTGTCCCAGGTAGGAAGGTTTCCCGGGTTTTCCCCTTAAACTGGGCCATTTAAGGATCTATGTTTTGTCATTTTTATCTAGGATCTCAATTTCTTTATCTGACTAACATAAAAGTTATATATTTCATCTGAAATTTTCTGATTGGCAAATATTTACTAATCAGTATGCCTGATACAAGTGGTAGTAAGAAGGGAGCTCACCTGGATTGATATATTCTAATGACTAACATTAACAGCATTTGGTAGTGATATTGTTATGGGAATTTAGTGGGTAATCCGTTTCACTTATTTCTGAAATAATGATAATATTTTGTTAAGTTTTGCCTTGAAGATGGAAACTAGCTCATGTTCTATAAGCTTCGATGTCTTTGAAATTTTTTCTACATACCCCATCTTCTATATGGCTAACAATATCTTTAAGGTCAAGCAATTAGTTTGCTAGTACCTCATCGCCTTGAGTGTTCTACATCCATTTTTAAAAATCATATTTAACATTGAAAAGTATTCAAAGATAGATGGTAAGAGCTTATAATCTGCTAGGAGGAGAGAATTGGACAAAATTAAATATACTATTAAAAAAGATGGAATAAGCTTTATAATCCCAGGTGTGTTGATACTATGGAAAATGGAGAGACAAATTCTCATTGCAGCATTTTGTAAGGTGTGCATACTGTGGTTGGGAGGGGTTGGGGTAGGAATGCTTTAGTGAAGGGGGTGATATTGAAGCTAAGCATTAAGGATAGTTATGATTTTATAGTTCATGAAGTCTTTTATAGCCCTAATATCTAAGAGATTTCTACAAACCATTCTAGACAGAGGAAATTGTGTGTAAGCAGGAAAGTGAAGACTATCAGGTGAAGAGGTCAATGTTAATGTAACCAGGAACTGGGTTAGCAATGGACAATGAGATAAAAAGATGCTAAGGCCTTACTTATAGAGGACCTTGAATTTCATGTGAATAAATTTAGACTCTATGCTGAAGGCAATGGAAAGTTAAATTGCTGGTGAGATTGTAATTTATAAAATGAATGTAAAATGAATGTAAATATTTTTATGAGTACAGGATGAAAATGAAGTGGCTTATTGCAGCCCATATTTAAAAGGCTTAAGAGTCTAAGTTCTATGAACAAAAGTAGTAATAATTTAATACCAATAAATCCTTTACCATTGTTGCTTATTCTTCTTTTAGAACAGAGGTGGGAAACCTTTTTTTCTACTAAGGGTCATTTGGGACTTATAGCATCATTCACCAGCCATCCAAAATAATCAACTTAAAAATCAGTGTGCTATATTTAGTAAAACTATTAACTTACTCCTAATGTGTTGGCAGTGTCAGACCAAATAATTTCTTGGGTCTTATAAATGGCTCTTGGGCTGGATATTCCCTACCCCTGTTTTAGAAAAATAGCATTCAGAACAGAAATGAGAGTCCTGGTTTAGAGTTCTGGGCAGGGGACGTAGGGAGGAGGTCTGTAGGTGCCATCTTTGGAAAGGGACATGGGTGAGCTGGAAATTACCTGAAGGAAAATGCCCAAGATGGAAAGAAATTCAAAACAGTGTCTTGGTAGATATGATGGGAGGAACTAGGAATATTTCTGTTCCAAAGAAGACTTGAGAGGAGGAAGGAACTGTTTTGACTTATGTGGAAGGCTACTCGAGAAGCAGAATTGGACTTTTTCTGATTAACTATAGAGTATATGTTAGGGTTAGCAGAGGGTAGATATTAGGAGGAGGCAGATTTCAATTCAATGTTAAATAGTTTCTAATTTGAGATATTTCTGAGACTTAATGGACTGTCTGAGGAGATAATGAGTTTCGTTTATAAGTGGTTATTTTAGCAGAGCACGAATAGCTAGTGAAAAAGCATGTACAATATATATTAGGGAAGAGACATGCAGATGACAGCCCATTTACCCTGAAACACAGAAAACCTGAGATTCAATGTACCTAGGCAATGAAGAATTAAAGAGATATATATAAGAAGGACTTTTAAGAGAAAAGGATTGGTAGTAGTGTCAGAACTTGCAAAAGTCTAAGTTCAGATTAAATGCTGTTGGATATAACAGTTCTTATTTGGGAGCTGATTCAGTAGAAATTGTCCATCAGAAGCTATATTCATAATGGATTAAGAGATTATTGAAGATTTGGTATCTTTTTCTTCATCAAATATTCAAAAAATATTTTTTGAGGCCTTAAGATATGTCAAGCTAATTTAGGTGCTAGTAATATAGCAGTAAATGAAACAGACAAAAATGTTTTCTTTTGTGGGGCAAGTTGGGAGATGGAGGGTGGGGATAATTCAAGAAATGTTATATATCATAGTAGACAGAGATAAGTACTATATAAAGCAAGAAAGATGGTATAGAGAGTGATAGGTATTAGAGAGGATGATCAGGGAAGACTGCTTCAAAGATGATACTTGAACAAAGACTTGAATAAAATGAGGGAGGAAATTATATGATCATCTTGGGAAGGGACATTCCTGATCAAAAGAATGGCTTGTATGAATCAGGAAAACTTGTGGTATATTCAGAGTACAGAAAGATCAGAGAGCTTAAGCTAAATGAGAGAGGGAGAAATAGTTGTGATTAGTGGTGGTCAAACTCATAGACATAAGAAGGGTTAGGGATTTTACTGTAAGTAAGATAGGAAGCCATTGGAGGACTTTGAGCAGAGGAGGAGCATGATCTGATATGTTTTAAAAAGATCACTTTGGCTATTGTACTGAAAATAGACTGTAGACAGACAGGCAAGACCAAGAGCTGAGAGACCAACTACTGCAATAATCCAGGTAAGGATGTTGTTGGCTTTGACCAGGATTGTAACAGTAGAAGTGGTGAGAAGAACCACAGGATTTGCTAATAAGTAGAAAATTTTGGTTTTAAGTGAGAGAAACTTATGATTGACTTGAAAGGATGGAGGTGCTATTGTTTGAGATGAGGAATAAAGCTAAGCAGTGAAGAGGAAGATGGAACGGTGGCTTTTGGTAGTAGGGTAGTAGGACCAAGAGAAATGGAGTTTTGTTTTTGTTTGTTTTCTGGACATGTAGGTTTAACTGTCCTTATGGCAGAAGAGAGGATAAGAGTGATAACTCAAGAAAAATACATCTATTTGTGAAGAAAGTTTAATAAGAACACTATATATAAAAGAAATTTAGATTTGGAAAGAAAAATCAACTCCTTTTCTGGGAAAGCAACAAAAAATCTTTAGGTAATTTATAGGAAAGTTGAAGTAATTTAGACCAAATGCTGTTTTCATAATTATAAGGTTTCAATTGATTCAGGTTTAGGGGATTCAGTTGAGATTAATAGCTAAGAAGATATTACAGAGTTTAGGGACTAAACAAAGAAGTCAACTACAGCCCAATCAGCATGGCTCAGTGGTTAAATGTCAACCTATGAGCCAGTAGGTCACGGTTCGATTCCTGGTCTGGGTGCATGCCCCAGTTGTGAGCTTGATCCCCAGTAAGGGGCATGCAGGAGGCAGACAATCAATGATTTTCTCATCATTGATGTTTCTCTCTATCCCATTCCTTTCCTCTCAAATCAATTTTAAAAAATACTTCTTTTAAAAAAGAAGTCAACTAGAGAGAAAAAGACTTTCAGTAATATCACAATTCAGTATTAGCATGAATTTGTTACATTTCAACAAGTTTAAAACAAACTGGTTGTAAAATCCATTGTTATTTTTCATGTACCACTAATAAAGCAAATAAAACATCTAAGTCTGAGAAATCTCATGGAAAGCTGGGACACCAAAGGCCTGCAGTGTTAGACTAAACCCACCCACATGGAAAGTTACATGCCTCAACCTTGGCACTGGATGTAGGAAGGAATAAATATCTTGCCTGATAATTTGAATCACAAGCTAATACTTGTGTAAGTCTACAGTCTGAAATCCCCTACATCAGTGTAGTCCAAACTATCCCAAGCAGAAAAATTAAGCAGTATTTAGTTGAGAGTTCCCTCAGGTGACTGGGCAAAGCTAATACAAGTCCTTTCTGGAAAAACTCTCAATCTGTGCCTAACAGAATTATAAGTTCTTTCTGATTTTAAAATGTTCAAATGTGAAAAGGCATGTGTTTTAGAATTGTAATAAGGTATGGAGCCAGTTTGCAGGCTTGGTGACTTCTCCAGCATGTTAAGCAGCATTGAATGGCACAGGGTTTTATAAATGCCAAACGGAGTCAATTAGATAATGGTAAGGGAGAAAGAGATAATGAGAAGTGGGGAGTTTATACAATCTTCCCAAGCCTAATTTTATTCTGGCAGCTGGTACCTAGGCTCAGAAATGGCAGATAATAGAACTCAGGTGGTCTCCTCTTTTTTTCATGCCCATGGGAGATACTGCATTTCTTAGAGGCTAGAAGAGTGACTTGCATATCATGAGCACTCAGTAGATAATTGAATAGATAAATCCATGATTATTTTTGGTACCCATATCACTTAGCTTGACTAGACCTCAGAATCCTTGTTGTTGTTGTTGTTGTTGTTGTTGTTGTTGTTAATCCTCCCCAGAGGGTATATATTTTCTATTGATTTTTAGAGAGAGTCGAAGGGAGTGGAAGAGACAGAGAGAAACAGCAACATGAGAGAGACACATCAATTGGTTGGCATTCACAGGAGCCCCGAACCAGTGCCCAAAATCAAGCCCACAAATGAGGTATAACCCTTGTAATTAAATCTTTGACCCTTCAGTCCTCTCTAATCATCGAGCAACCAGCCTCAGAGTCCTTTTTAAAAAAATATATTTTATTGATCTTTCACAGAGAGGAAGAGAGAGGGATCGAGAGTTAGAAACATCAATGAGAGAGAAACATCAATCAACTGCCTCCTGCACACCTCCCACCAGGGATGTGCCCACAAACAAGGTACATGCCCTTGACTGGAATCGAACCTGGGACCCTTCAGTCCACAGGCCTACACTATATCCACTGAGCCAAACCAGTCAGGGCTCAGAGTCCTTTTTAATAGCAACCGCTAACAATAAATCAAGATTGGCAAGTGATTTAAAATCTGTTTTCCATCACTGAGTTAGAGATTTTGAGGCAGAAAATAATTTAATCAAAAGATGAGAAAGTACTGACCTTTGAAATCATAAAGCCTAACCTGCATTTTCTGTTATATAAGATGGGATGAGTCCCTTAATGTCAATGCCAGTTTTCCCATTTGGAGAGGGAGAGTTATTTCGCTCCCATTTGCTTTAGAGGGGGTGTAATGAATATCAGGAAAAATGATAGATGTGGGGTGCTTTTTCAATCGAAGTGCTTAAAAATTGAGTTTTATAATATTTTTAGGTGGCTTATTGCTTTTTAAATTGAAGTGCTTAAAAAGTGATTTTAATGATATTTTAGGCAGTCTATTTTTACATCTATATTCAGAGTAATGGAGCTGAATAGAAAAAGAGTAAAGCAAGTTTTTTCTGGTTAAGAGGAAATATTTAGTAAGAATAATTCTCGTGTTTGGTTTTTGGAAACTAGGTATAAAAGAGTTGGATAGTTCCTACAGTCCTAAACATTTATTTATCACTTAGGCAGTGGGGTTATTAAATGGTCTAAGGTGGTTGATAAAGACTACCAAGTTTTAAGAAAAAAAAGTTCATTCTGACATGTGAGATTCCAGTTAAGATTGCTTTGCTCTCAGATGAGCCTGAGACATGGCAGACAATGAGGATTTATGGTCCACTGAGACTTCTTTTTCTGAATAATAATATGAATTAATGTAGGAAAATAAAGATGTAAAGGATTATGTGTTAAATTATGTTTGACTACTTTCAAAATGTTTAGACATGTTTCTAAAGATGTTAGGAAAAGGTCACAGCTGACCTCACTGGCAGTTTGAGAGATGACATTGCAACCACAGGGACTGTGACTTCGACTGACAACTCATAATTCATAATTCAACTTCTGGGTGAATCTCATGAATTTCTAATTAGTCTTAGAACAAAGATATGAATCTTAGGTTTCTTCCATTTATGGTTCAGAATTCTAGCATTTTATAACTAAGTGAAATTTAAAGAGTGGTTTTTGGCCACTTTCTAATTAATACTCTTTGTTTATTGGATCAATGTCAGAAATTCAAGCATAAGCAAATCATTCTCCCATAAGGAATTTCCATTGCTTTTTATATTCTCATATCCTATAAAATGTTACTGTTGGTGAGTTATGAGCTAAAGACCAGATAATAGACCTTATTTGTCACACTTTACTTTGTGGTTTATTAATGTTCTCCACCTTCCCCTATCCAGCTTATGTATTTGGAAAATAATGGTACCAGATATAAAGTTATCCTGTTAAGATTTATAAGCTTAGACATAGAAAATCAAGTTGGATGTGACCATGACTATGTATCTTTGCTTATTAGTAAAAATGTTACATTTATTTTCATTTGTCATCTTATAGTCCCTGGATTGGTTTAGTATTATTCCTCTTAAAATATGGTTCACAGCAGTGGAGAGCACAGGAGATAATCTGCCACCTTGATCACTGGACTACTGGTGAGCTAAAATTTTGATTAACTTTCAAATAATGCTTTTAAATTGTGAATAATGCTTTTAAATTGTGAACTATAGATATCTATATCTATATCTATATCTATATATCTATATCTATATATCTATATCTATATCTACTTCAATATATCTATATATTAAAGAACAGTTATTACTATACATTTGTGTCCATAACACCCAGTTTAGGAAGGATCTTTTTACTTTCAAGATCCCAAGAAGTAAACAATATGCTAAATTTTGTGTTAATCTTTTTTAGTTGGTTTTAAAAGCTATAGATCCTTATAGCCGGTATATTGGTCTTTCTTAGTTTTGATATTAATTTAAAGAATTATAGTTTATATTGTTTTGACTTGCTTTTATCCTCATACCATGTTATATAGATTAATCTGTGTGGATGTGTATATGTAATTAATTCATTTTCAGTCCAGACTTGTTAAGATAATCACTTGTGGGTAGGTTCTGGGCACTGTACATTTAGATACTCCCCAGATAATTCCAATGTTTAGTCAAGATCAAGAACCACTCCCAGTCTCTCTCATCCATCTTGACCACTCCCCACCTTACTCACAGTGGGCCAGCCCCTTCCTCAAACATACTGAGCATTTCTGTTTCCAGGCTTCATAGTTGCTGTTCCCACTGCTTTTCAGGGTACCACATACATTCAGGTGTCTTGCAGCCTTAGGCTCCTCTTGGCTATAAGTTTCATAACCTTTTCTTGTTTTTGATGATTTTGACATTTTTGGGGAGCACTCATCTTAGAATGTCCCCAATTTGATTTTATCTGATCTTTTCCTCATAGTTTTGCTCTGATTATGAATTAAAGGGAAGGAAGTCCACAGAGGCAAGGTGCCATTCTTATCACATCATAGCAAGAGGACATGCTATCAGCATAATTTACCACTGATGATGTTAACCTTAATCACTGGCCAAGGTAGTGTTTGCCTAGTGTCTTCACAGTTGTTACATTTCTGCCTTTCCATACTTTCTCTTTAGAAGCAAGTCACAAAGGGTAGTCCACACACAAGGGGTTGGATGTCAAGCTCCACCTTCTTGAGCAGGGAGTAGTTATATAAAATATTTAAAATTATTTATGGGAGATTTGTCTCTTCACCATGTATTTATTAAATCATCTCTTTATATCAGTATGGACTCAGGAATATTTATTTTATATGACTACATATTTATTTGGTTGCTTAAATTGTTCTAGCTTTAACCATCGTGAGCTTTTTCAGCGTGATTCTTATCTTTTTGACATACTCCCATCATTTTGTGACACTATAAGATTCTCCAGGATCCACTTATGTATTTCCTGTTCAGTCCTAAAATCAGTCAATTCCTTAATGAACTATGATTCATTTTAATGAAAAATAGTATGAGAAATCATTTGGGTGCTGGGCATAATAGTTGCTATGAGGGTTTTATTTTATTTTATTGAATATATCCTTATTAATTTCAGAGAGGTAGGAAGAGGGAGAAAGCGAGATAGAAATATCAATGATGAGAGAGAATCATTGTTCATCTGCCTTCTGCATGCCCCCTACAGGGAATCAAGCCAGCAACCCAGGAATGTGCCCTGACCAAGAATCAAACTGTGACCTCCTAGCTCATAGATCAATGCTCAACTGGCTGGGCATAGGGTTTTATTTTAGTAAATTTCTAGGCTCTCTTAGCTGAAAAAGGTAGAAAATATAGGAATGCATATATATATATATGTATATATATATATATATATATACACACACACACACACACACACACACACACACACACACATACATAAAAACACTAATAAAAGAGCAAGATGCATATTGATCATACCTTCACGACACTCACCAGCCAATCAGTAGTGGGCATGCAAATTAAACCAACGAAGATGGAAGGTTAATTTGCATACACAGGCACTGCCCCAACCACTCTGGGCCTCTGGATAGCGTGGGAAGGCAGAAAGGCGGGTCCAGCCTGAGTGAAGGCAGTGCTGGCAGCCAGGGGAAGGAAGGCCCATTTTGCACAAATCTTTGTGCATCGGGCCTCTATTATACACACACACACACACACACACACACACACACACACACAGAGATATATATCCTACCTAATAAAAGAGTAATATGCAAATTGACTGTCATTCCAACACACAAGATGGCTGCCCCCATGTGGATACAAGATGGCCACCACAAGATGGCCAGCAGGGGAGGGCAGTTGGAAGGGAACAGGCCTGCAAGGGAGGGTAGTTGGGGGTAATCAAGCCTGCAGGGGAGGGAACTTAGGGGTGACCAAGCCAGCAGAGGAGGAAAGTTGGGGGAGACCAGTCCTGCAAGGAAAGGCAGTCAGGGAGGACCCAAACCTGCAGAGGAGAGCAGTTGGCGGGGACCAGGCCTGCAGGTTAGGGCAGTTTGGGGTGACCAGGCCTTCAGGGGAAGATAGTTAGGGGCAATCAGGCTGGCAGGGGAAGGTAGTTAGGGGTGACCAGACCAGTAGAGGAGGGAAGTTAGGGGCGACTGGACCTGCAGGGAAGGGCAGTTGGGGGGCGGGGATCCAGGCTTGCAGGGGAGAGAAGTTTGGGAGGGACCAAGCCTGCAGGAAGAGCAGTTGGGAGGACCAGGCCTGCAAGGGAGGGCAGTTAGGGCTGATCAGGCCTTCAGGGGAGGGCAACTAGGGGTGACCTAATTAGGGGTGATCAGGCCTGCAGGGGAGCAGTTAGGCATCAATCAGGCTGGCAGGAGAGTGGTTAGGGAGTTATCAGGCTGGCAGGCAGAAGTGGTTAAGAGTAATCAGGAAGGCATGCAGGCAAGCAGTTGGGAGCCAGCAATCCTGGATTGTGAGAGGTATGTCTGACTGCCCGTTTAGGCCTCTAGTTTCTTCTGAGATCAGTACTGTGACTGGATAGGAAAATATTAGTGATGGTAAACATTTTACACTTGCAAAAATTTTACTACAGGTTGTTAATTTTGAAAATTTGTCATGGAAATTATATACGGCAGGATCTACATTAGCCTTTCTTCTTTCCAGAGGAAAGAAACTATGTTTTATTTAGTTGTGATAGGTGATCAAATTAGAGAATGAGCTATTTTATATGTTCCCTGCGAGGTATTTAATTATAAGTAGGCTAGATCCATAAGGGACAAGTATGTTTTTTAGGCTTTGCAGTCCACATGGTCCCTGTCACACTACTAAATTTTGCCATTTTAGCAGAAAGCAGAATGTGTACATTTTAGCACAGACAATATGTAAAGCAATGGATGTGGCTGTGTTCCAAAAGAACTTCATTCATGACATTTACATTTTGTATATCATTTATGTCACAAAATATTTTTATTTGGATTTTTTCAATCATTTAAAAATGTACCAACCATTATTAGTTCTTGGGTTATAATAAATAGAACCAGGGGTGGGGATGGAGGTGCTGGCATGGAATTGACCCATTGGCTGTAGTTTGCTAAATATTGGGCTAGATTGTAGTTATTAAGCCATAATACTAGTAATATACTGATCAATTTTAATGGTTTGATGTTTACATTTTACTTCATTTCACTACATAAGAGCATTTTCTTTTTGTTTCTGTGTCATTTATTTAGAATCTGTGAATTTGAAGAAGGAATTTCTCTTTGTGTACAATATTCATGTTCACAGCTATAGTACATCCTGAAGCCAAATTGCACTTTCCCAAAATCTTTGCAACCACTGAGGAGGTTTCTAGCTTCCCTGTTTTGCAAAAGAGGAGGTTATGGCCCAAAGATTTATGTAGCTTACTACAATCCCATGACTAGTAGGTATCAAAGCTAGATGCTAAAATCGGCCATGACTTCGCTGATAATCTGTGAATTCCCAGCCTGACTTCAGCTCCATGTGATTTAGCCTCCACTTCACTCTCCAACTTCATTTCCTCCTTTTGTCCCTTCAGGCACTGTGGTCTTCCTTTCTTTTTAACACCAAACTCACCCTGTGTTCGGGAGCCATGCACTTTCTTTTCCTCCACTTGGAACACACTTCTCTAGTCTCCCAGCTGCCTCCTAGCACTTCATTCTCAGATTCCACTCCCTTCTCACACCCTTTTGCTGCAGCAGGACTGCTCTTCACCACCTACTTTCTGCATGACCACTTTTATCAGTTCATTGTACACAAACCTTCTTGACAGTATTTTATGTGATTATTTTCTGCATCTTATCCCTTAGAGTGGGAACCTCTGGGAGGCAGATCGCTGTTTAATGTAGTACTCTTTCCTCAGGGCTGACAGGTTAGAGTAAACAGGAGACATTTATTGACTGACTGCCTTCAACAGCCTTGAATAAATATACTCATTCTCTTAACACCTTCAGTCATTGCTGCCTCCATGACCACCAGATAACTGAGAGGTAGTTACAATCTTACCAGAGATGAATCCATTCTTAGCCCTGGCCAGTGTGGCTCAGCTGAGTATCATCCCGTGCACCAAAATTTCACTTGTTTGATTCCAGGTCAGGGCATGCCCAGGTTTAGGACTCAATCCCCAATAAGAGGCATGCAGGAGGTAGCCAATAGCTGTTTCTCTCTCACATTAATGTTTCTCTCTGTCTCTTTACCTCTCCTTTGCATTGTCTCTAAGGAAAGCATATTTTACAAAGTAAAAATAATTTTTTAAAAAGATGAATCCAGCCAAAACCGGTTTGGCTCAGTGGATAGAGCATGAGCCTGCGGACTGAAAGGCCCCAGGTTCGATTTCAGTCAAGGGTATATACCTTGGTTGCAGCCACATCCCCAGTGAGGGTTGTGCAAGAGGCAGCTGATCGATGATTCTCTCTCATCGATGTTTCTAGCTATCCCTCTCTCTTCCTGTCTGTAAAACAAAAACAAAAAACAAACAAACAAACAAACAAAATCAATAAAATATATTAGAAAAAAATAAAAGATGAATCCATTTTTTCAATCTCAGAGAAAATGAGTTTTCAATTTTGAGGTATGATAAGCAACACTGATGGGATGTATGGTCCTTAAAAAGAGGATTTTAAATACTTTAAATTATTTATGTGTTAGATTTGTGCATCAGAAAGAGTACAGGATTTGGAGTCAAACCGAGGCTGTCTGTGAGCTCTCGTTTTCAGAGCTGTGGCTTCTGTATGTGTGAGCTCAGTGGAACAGCCCATCTCAAATGCTGTTGTATTGTTAGGTTGGAGTAAAGGGCTCCATAAATATCAAGGGACTATATAAATGGAAGGTAATTCTTATTTTGTCCAAAAAGGTATAAGACTATGAAATAATAAACTCAATATTTTTAATGCCATGAAGTGATAGAGCAAGTCATACAGAATACATGCTAACAGAGTCCTGACTGAGAGTCAGTTATAAGAAGAAAATTTTTAATGTTCATTATTAGCATCATTTTTTAAAAATATATTTTATTGATTTTTTACAGAGAGATAGGGTGAGAGCTAGAGAGCTAGAAACGTCGATGAGAGAGAAACATCGACCAGCTGCCTCTTGCGCACCCCCTACCGGGGATGTGCCCACAACCAATGTACATGCCCTTGGCCGGAATCAAACCTGGGACCTTTCAGTCCACAGACCGACGCTCTACCACTGAGCCAAACCGGCTTCGGCTATTAGCATCATTTTAAATTGGAGTTGAGTTTTGGTCACAGTGACAATTGAGGGAAAAAAGGAATATGATTTTGGCTTATATTAGGAAATAATAAAAACATTGCTATCTCATATTTATAATGTATGTTTACATAATATTTATCTGTATAAATATGTAATCTTGTCAATCACATATAACAATTCATATCTTGTTGAATCCTCTTTCTGAATTCTTATGTAGCAATATTTGAAACACTGACATTTGTATTGGAAATGAGCTAGGAAAAAGTGTTTCTGGTCTCGCTCTCCTGCCAATGTATTCCCTTTACAAAGATGCCACATTTGGAAATGAAGACAGCCTGTGTGAGACACATCGTTTTTGACTCAATGTTTTGCATCAGCACAGGCATACCTGAGTGATTGCAGTTACGTTGGTGCTAAGCAAGTCTGAGCTTAAGTATATGTATATTTTCTATCTTAACTTCTTGCTCACTTTATTATTATTGTCTTTTTCAGAATCTGCTCCTTCATTAGATGGTGGCCTGGCAAGTAGTTTGCAGCAGATTCAAATGCCTGTGGTAGAGAGATCTGCAAACACACTTATTATTCTGCTCACCCAGGAGGGATTGCAGAGAAGACAATCTATGCTAGCTTTGCAGCCACTGGAGGAGAGGATTGCTGTCAGGTGAGACAATTATGATTTTGCAGAGGAACAGAGAAAGCTGCCATCTGCTAGAGACTGTCTTCACATAGGAAAACACTCTCAAACCACACATAGCTCCCTTAGTCTGCTTCATAGTATCATGCCACACCCAAAGGCTTAGTAGGATCATAGGAAGAGTAAGTTTCTGCATCCAAACTTGCTGCGATGGCAGAGAGAGAGGGGAGGGTGGAAACAGCCTACAGCCAGAAGAGCCGGTGAGTACAGTGAGGAGCCATGAAGAGGTAGGAGATGGCAGCACCACTAAACTGACCTGCAGGTGGGAGGATGTTTGCAGATGTATTTAAGGCTTTAGGAAAACAGGAACGAACAAATAAGGATTCTAAATTATCATGTGCTATTTATGACTAAAGAGTTTAATTCTTGCCCTCGCTGGTTTGGCTCAGTGGATAGAGCATCAGCCTGTAGACTGGTCCCAGGTTCCATTACTGTCAAGGGCACATGCCTGGGTTACGGGCTTGATCCCCATTGGGGAATGTGCAGGAGGCAGCCAATCAATGATTCTCTTTCATCATTGATGTTTCTATCTCTCTTTACATCTCCCTTCCTCTCTGAAATCAATAAAGATATTTTTTTAAAAGTTTTAATTGTTATTAATTTCCAGTGTGCTCACACTTGATTTTCAATCACATATTAAAATAATCAAGAAGAGGGGGGGGCGGAGCTTGAAGATGGTGACCGAACAGTCGGACTTGTTCTGACTCTGGTCCCAGAACAGATAGAAGCAGCGTCTGAGTCGCTCAGGGAAAGTTGATTGGCAGCTGAGGGACAGCAGAAATCTCAAGGACAGTAAGGAAAGGTCCGCTGGACAGGATTTCCTGACCAAGAGGCCAGCACTGCCGTGGCCGCGGCGAGCTCTCCCGGAGGGAAGGCGGCGCCATCTTACCAGGAAAGGAGGAGCTTCTCTGAGGCCTGTAAACCCACAGCGGGGAGGTCCATCGAGCTGCTGAGATGCCCGGATCGGTGCAGACACGTGGATTCGGGGGAGTTCATCAGTCACCCACGGAAAGGAGAAGGAACACCACATAACCAGACATCCTGAGAAGAGAGGCCATGGGGAGACAAAAATATAGTTCGCACATGAAAGAAAAGCAGGCATCACCAGAAAAGGAAGTAAACGAGTCAGAGGTAAGCAGCCTACCAGAGCAAGAATTCAGAATAATGATCATAGGATGGCTAAAAAGAATGGAAGAGAAATTTGACAATAACCAAGAAGAAATGAGGAAGAACCATTAGGAATTGAAGAAGAACCATGAAAAATTGAAGAAGAACCAAGAAGAAATGAAAGGTGACATCGCTACCATGAAGAACTCAATAGAAAGCATCAAGAGTAGACTACATGAGGCAGAGGACCACATCAGTGAGCTAGAAGATAAGATGGAAAAAAATACCCAAGTAGAGCAGCTTCTAGAAAAAAAGATTAAAAAGCAGGAGGAGAGCCTACGGGAGCTTTGGGACAATACAAAACAAAATAATATTCGAATAATAGGGGTTCCAGAAGGAAAGGAAACTGAGGTAGACATGGGAAAAGTATTTCAAGAAATAATGACAGAAAACTTTCCTGAAAAAGAGAAGAAAAAACCTACACAAATCCAAGATGCTCCCAGAGTTTCAAGCAAAATGAATCCCAGAAGACAGACTCCAAGTCACATTATAATCAAATTGGCAAACAACAATGACAAAGTAAGAATCTTAAAAGCAGCCAGAGAGAGGCAGAAAGTGACATACAAAGGAACCCCCATCAGACTAGCAACTGATTTCTCAACAGAAACTTATCAGGCCAGAAGGGAATGGGATGAAATATACAAAGTCATGCAAAGGAAGGGTCTGAATCCAAGAATACTGTACCCAGCAAGGCTATCAATCAAAATTGAAGGGGAAATCAGGAGCTTCACAGACAAAAAGAGACTGAAGGAATTTATCTCCGCCAAACCAGCAATGCAAGAAATGCTAAAGGGTCTACTGTAAAAATAAAAAAATAGGAAGTGAAGAAGGAACACGGGTATAGAATAAAAATGGTGTCAAATGTGTACCTATCAATAATAACCTTAAATGTAAATGGATTAAATGCTCCAATCAAAAGACATAGGGTAACAGATTGGATAAGAAAACAAGACCCATACATCTGTTGTCTACAAGAAACCCACCTCAGAAAAAAAAGATGCACACTGACTGAGAGTGAAGGGATGAAAAAAGTTTTCCAGGCAAATGGAAATGAAAAAAAAGCTGGGGTAGCAATACTTATATCTGACAAATTAGATCTCAGAGTGAAGGACATAATAAGAGATAATGAAGGCCACTTCATAATACTAAAGGGAACAATCCAACAAGAAGAAATAACCCTGGTAAATATATATGCACCCAATACAGGAGCAACCAAATACATTTAAAAAAAAAACTGCTGGAAGACATTAAGAGAGAGATTAATAGCAATACAATCATAGTAGGAGATTTTAATACCCCACTGTCACCCTTCAACAAATCATCTAAACAAAAAATCAGCAAAGAAATATCAATCCTAAATGACTCACTAGACCAGATGGAATTAATTAACATCTTCAGAACACTCCACCCCAAAGCCACAGAATATACATTCTTCTCAAGTGCACATGGGACATTCTCAAAGATAGACCACATTTTGGGACATAGGCAAAGTCTCTTCAAATTCAAGAAGATAGAAATCATATCAAGTATCTTCTCAGACCATAATGGCATAAAACTGGAAATTAACTACAATAAAAATAATCCAAAGAAATTAAACACATGGAGACTAAACAGTATGCTATTAAACAAGGACTGGGTTACCAGAGAAATCAAGGAAGAAATTAAAAACATCCTGGAAACAAATGACAATGAAAACACAACAATCCAAAATCTATGGGACACAGCAAAAGCAGTTTTGAGAGGGAAGTTCATATCCTTACAAGCCTATTGCAAAAAAACTAGAAAAAAGGGTAACAGATGATCTAACTCTACAATTCAAAGAGTTAGAAAAGAAGCAACAAGAAAAGACCAGTGTAAGCAGAAGGAAGGAAATAACAAAAATCAAAGTAGAGATAAACGACATAGAGACCAAAAAAACAATACATAAGATAAACAAAACCAAGAGCTGGTTCTTTGAAAGAATAAACAAGATAGATGAACCTCTAGCCAGGCTAACTAAGAAACAAAGAGAGAGGACCCAAATAAACAAAATCAGAAATGAAAGAGGTGAAATAAAACAGACCCCACCGAAATACAACAGATTGTTACAAAATACTACAAACAACTCTATTCCAACAAACTGAACAACCTGGAGGAAATGGACATATTCCTAGAAAAACACAAACTTCCAAAACTCGGTCAGGAAGAATCTAAAAATCTCAATAGACCAGTGACTTGGGAAGAAATTGAAACAGTCATCAGAAAGCTTCCAGCAAACAAAAGCCCAGGGCCAGATGGCTTCACAGGAGAGTTTTACCAAACATTCAAGGAAGAACTAAAACCTATCCTCCTCAGACTTTTCCAAAAAATTCAAGAGGAAGGAACACTTCCAAACTCCTTCTATGAAGCCAGCATCACCCTAATACCAAAACCAGATAAAGACAACTCAATGAAAGAGAATTACAGGCCAATATCCCTCATGAACATAGATGCCAAAATCCTCAACAAAATTCTAGCAAATCGGCTCCAGCAGAGCATCACAAAGATCATACACCATGACCAAGTAGGATTTATTCCAGGAATGCAAGGATGGTACAATATCCGCAAATCAATAAACGTGATACATCACATAAACAAATTGAAAGATAAAAATCATATAGTCATATCAATTGATGCAGAAAAAGCATTTGATAAAATCCAACACCCTTTCCTGATAAAAACTCTTAACAAGGTGGGAGTATAAGGATCATACCTCAACATAATAAAAGCTATATATGATAAACCCACAGCCAACATTATACTCAATGGGCAAAAACTAAAACCATTCCCTCTAAGAACAGGAACAAGACAGGGATGCCCACTCTCTCCACTCCTGTTTGACATAGTACTGGAAGTACTAGCCATTGCAATTAGACAAGAGGAGGAAATAAAAGGCATCCAAATTGGAAAAGAAGAAGTAAAGTTATCCTTATTTGCAGATGACATGATATTGTACATAAAAAAACCAAAAGACTCCATTAAAAAACTAATTGACTTAATAAATGAATTTGGCAATGTAGCAGGATACAAAATTAATGCCAAGAAATCCAGGGCATTTCTATACACCAACAGTGAAACTACAGAAACAGAGACTAAAAAGCAATTCCATTTACCATCGCACCAAAAAAATTAAGATACCTAGGAATAAATTTAACTAAGGAAGTAAAGGACCTATATGCATAAAACTACACGACACTGAAAAAAGAGATAGAGGATGATGGAAGGAGATGGAAGAACATACCATGTTCATGGATTGGTAGAATCAACATCATCAAAATGTCCATACTTCCTAAAGCAATCTATAGGTTCAATGCACTCCCCATTAAAATACCAATGGCATATTTCACTGACCTAGAAAGAACTCTCCAAAAGTTCATTTGGAACAATAAAAGACCCCGAATAGCCACAGCAATCCTGAGAAAGAAGGGTAAAGTAGGAGGGATCTCAATACCAGACTTCAAACTGTATTACAAAGCTACTGTTCTCAAAACAGCCTGGTACTGGCACAAGAACAGACATATAGATCAATGGAATAGAATCAAGAACCCAGATATCAACCCAAATCAATATGCTCAATTAATATTTGACAAAGGAGGCACGAATATACAATGGAGTCAAGACAGTTTCTTTAATAAATGGTGTTGGAAAAATTGGGCAGACACATGCAAAAGAATGAAACAAGATCACCAACTTACACCATACACAAAAATAAACTCAAAATGGATACAGGACTTAAACATCAGACGGGAAACCATAAAAATACTAGAAGCATCCACAGGCAGCAAAATCTCAGATGTATGCCCAAAGAACTTCTTCACTGATACTGTCCCTAGGGCAATGGAAGCTGAAGAGAAAATAAACAAATGGGACTACATCAAAATAAAAAGCTTTTTTACAGCAAAAGAAACCATCAACAAAACAACAAGAAAGCCCACTGTGTGGGAGAACATATTTGCAAATAACACCACTGATAAAGGTTTAATCTCCAACATCTACAGACAGCTGATACAACTAAATAAAAGGAAGACAAATGATCCAATTAAGAAATGGGCAATGGACCTAAATAGAATATTTTCAAAAGAATACAGAAGGAAGGCCAAAAGGCACATGAAAACATGCTCAAAGTCACTAATTATACAAGAGATGCAAATCAAAACAACAATGCGGTACCATCTCACACCTGTCAGAATGGCCAACATCAACAAGTCAACAAACGACAAGTGTTGGCGAGGTTGCGGAGAAAAAGGAACCCTCGTGCACTGCTGGTGGGAATGCAGACTGGTGCAACCACTATGGAGAACAGTGTGGAGTTTCCTCAAAAAACTGAAAATGGAACTCCCATTTGACCCAGTAATCCCACTCCTAGGAATATATCCCAAGAAACTAGAAACACCAATCAGAAAGGATATATGCACCCCTATGTTCATAGCAGCACAATCTACAATAGCCAGAATTTGGAAACAGCCTAGGTGCCTGTCAGCAGATGATTAGATCCAAAAACTATGGTACATCTACATAATGGAATACTATGCTGCCATAAAAAAGAAGGAATTCTCATAATTTGCAGCAACCTGGATGGAATTGGAGAACATCATGCTGAGTGAAAGAGAAACACCACATGACCCCACTCATTTGTGGATAATAAAGATCATTATAAACTGATGAACCAAAAGAGAGATATAGAGACAATAAAGCAACAAGCAGATTGTCAAATTACAGCAGGGAGGGGAGGAGGATCTGGGGGGGATAATAGATCAACCGAAGGACTTGTATACATGCATATAAGTACAACCAATGGACATAAAATGCTGGGGAGGGAAGGGATGTGTGGGAGGGAGGGGGGCAAAAAATAAAAAATCAATAAAATATGTAAAAAAAAAAAAGAAAAGAAAAGAAAGAAAGAAAAGAAACGAGAAGCCCGGGACTGAAACGTGAAGCCGAATAAATATCAGGTCCTGAAAAAATAAAAAATAAATAAAAATAAATAATCAGGAAGAGAATGAAAACCTTTGAAAAAATAGTTTTCATGTGCAGTGAAAAAAATCACAAAGCAATAGTTTCATTTCAGTGATATTGTAAAGGCACAAAGCTGTACAGATATATTCACAGGGGTGACCATCCTATTAGCAAGTTCAGAACCAGCTAAGAAAAAAAAAACAACAACAAAAAAAAACAGAATATGGGCAAATGGATTGCAAACACCAGCTTTACTATTATATTTACAAAGCCAACTGAGGAATGTGACTTTAGATATACACAAAAAGCATTTATAACACTTCCTAGCCCACCTTCAACCTCTACTCTCAATCTGAGCAGCCCTCCTAAAAGAAAGTTGTGGTCTTCAGAGAAGGCATACTTCCCCAGATTTATCATTTCATACTGGTCTAGAGTGGAGGGGGAAGAAAAAAAATGAATCTCTAGTCTTTATTGCTTTTGATAACCCACTCCCTCCCCCCCAAATCAAGAAACATAAACCAATGGGTCCCACTTTTATGGGCAGAAAACTGGGCATTAACCTGAATATTAGTCCTTTCACATGAAAACATGAAGAGAGCCAAAGCCGGTTTGGCTCAGTGGATAGAGCACTGGCCTGCGGACTGAAAGGTCCCTGGTTCGATTCAGTCAAGAGCATGTACCTTGGTTGCAGGTACATTCCCAGTAAGGGGTGTGCAAGAGGCAGCTGATCGATGTTTCTCTCTCATCGATGTTTCTAACTCTCTATCCCTCTCTCTTCCTCTCTGTAAAAAATCAATAATATATATATATATTTTTAAGTATGGTAAGATGTACAAATTGACAAAGAATAATTATTTTTAAAATTAAAGGAACATCTTATAACAAATTATAGGTTATTCTTGTTCCAAAATTGAAATCAGGAGCTCTAATTAAAGAAAATTTCTAGGTCACATTTCTTTGGGGTTTCAGGGAGACTCTGGTGGGCCACTAGTGAGTAGACATGAAAATCGTCTCTTTGTCCTCCATGGCATCATCAGTTGGGAGCTGGCTGTGCCCGGCCAAGAAAGCCAGTGAATTTGCCAGGGTGAGTATCTTCTTGGGCTGTATCCAACCCAAAATTAAAGGTAAACATGTTTCAGATATTATGAAAACAATGCCTCTTTCTTCAGATTTTTGTCAGCCTGATGAAAGACTATAAAGTAGTACTTTCATTTTGAAATATATTAACATGCACATTAAAGTTCTGTAAGAATATGTTCTCCCTTGTACAGTTAGGGTAAAACTGACTTTTCCTGAGACTGTTTAAATCCTAGATATGCATCTTTTTTTAACAAAAGCTGCTTTGGTACAGACTACATGTTGTCTCAGGCACTCGTTTCTATTTATTTTTAATTGGTTCTCTCCAGATACAAGCTTCGTTTCACTTCGAATAAATAATGAAAGCAAAAGCTTAACAAGGAAACAATTGCCGCCACTCATATCTTCAGCGGACCGGGCCAGGTAATGGATATTCATGTTATCACATAATACAGCTAGTAAGAATTTAACAAAAAACATTGTATGTCTGGATCCCCTTATTTTCTTTGGAACACTATAAATTTTGTGTTTTCATTCTGTTGGGGAGTTTAAGTTGACAGAGAGAAGAGATTTTATGGTGATTGGGGATCTTTTCTACCTCATAGGTACATACAGTGATTACAGGTTTAAAAAAAAAATCTTGTGATTGTGAACAAGTGCCTGCATTTTGAAGAAGTGCAGAGAATTATTTTGACCTCTGAGATATTTATTCCTACATGAAGCAAGGTCCTTATACTCTTAGGTATCTTGCTAGGTACTCTAGCTGTGAGATGACTGAGACCAGTATCAAGGTTAGTGTTTCTCTCAATTCTCCCACAATTGTCAGTGTTTGTTTGCTAATAGGGTTTTGATTTTGATTTTTTAATTATATTTTATTGATTTTTTTACAGAGAGGGAGAGTGAGAGTTAGAGATATCTATGAGAGAGAAACATTGATCAGCTGCCTCTTGCACTCCCCTCACTCCCCCCCTTACTGGGGATATGCCTGCATTGACTGGAATCAAACTTGGGACCTTTTAGTCTGTAGGCCAACACTCTATCCACTGAGCCAAACTGGTTAGGGCAAATTTTCATTTTTAGTTAAGAGCAAACAGCAGCTTGAGAATAAAAAGTCTATAGTTGACTTGTAGGGGGATAAAAGTTCTATGATACCATCATTTTTGGTTTGCAAATGGCCATGGTCTTTCCCTTTTCATCGATCTCTGCACCATTCACTCTCACATACACTCAACCACAGTAGACAACCAGAATGACTTGGAGGAAAATTGAAGAAGATGTAAGAGAGAGGGAGTGGGGAATTGTTAGAACGGTGGCTTCAGTAGAAGAGAAGGATGAGCTCTAGTGCCCAGCTGGAGGGGTTAGTCTTAGGAAGAAGCAAAACACAATTTATCCATAATTGCCAGATGGAAGGCAGAAAATTCAGTCACTGATACAGGTGTGCAGGTATATGTGGGAATAGGAGCTTCTGGCAGTTCTCTTTTAATTGCTTCTATTTTCTCAGCAGATGAAACAGGGTTGTGAAAGAAGGCTCGAGATGTTAAAATAAAAAAAGAGAAAGTATGAAATAATTCTCTTAAAAAATGACAAAGCGCATGGACAGAAAAAAAGTGGTAGGATAAGCCTCAGAGAGTCAAAACAATGGTGGAAGAGTCATACTTAGATTAAAAGGAAATCTAGAATTGGGGTTGAAATGAAGAGCAAACTTAGGTCCAAGATCCCCAAACCTAATGATTTCAATGGGTTGAGTTAAATGAATAATTTCAACAAGTGTCTAATTTAATGCATGTAAAGGCCTTAGAATAGTAAGTGGCAGTTGTATTCTTTGAGTTGTCCCGTTCAGACTATTAGAAAATGAACATTGTTAAAATGCAGAGAAGATATTTCTCATTTGCATGTGTTTAGAAATCCTTATACATGCCAAAGAACTTAGAAAGTTTTACATATGAAAGGGTATTGTTTTATTTTGGTTCTATGACTATTGTATGAGATAAATGTTAGAATTGTGCCATATTTAACACTCACCCACTTTCACCATTTGCTTTTTATACTAGGTAATTTATGAATCCTAGCTATGGTTTTTTAAATTGTTTCCCACTTGTAAAAAGCAGTGACTGGTTGGGAATTCATGACTTTATAGGATTTGGCTCTTTTTCCAGGCAGATTTGACATAGGGGATTATTGTGGAGAGGAAAAGGAGATTTAAAAGATTGGAAAGATTGGGCCAGATGGTAAAAGACATTGCAAGGTACACTACTCTAGTTGCTTTGAACAAGGAAAGAGCTCATACACAATTTGTTTCATACACAATTCCCAGATTGAAGGGCAAGGTGGGGGAAGATTAGAGACTGGGAAAACTGTTAGTTACTATTAAGTCAAAGTAATAAATCTATAAATTAGAACACAGTAGCCATAAAAACAAAAAGAAAAATTTGCAAAGAAATAACAGAGGCCTGGACAATGGAATATAATCCCGATTTCCTACAGCATTGTATTTTCTTTCTATCACTCTTCATGGCTACTGTTCATAAAAACATATTTTTGTATATATCTCCTTGGTTAGATTATTAATTTCTCCACATAGACTGTATATAATAATGTATATACTAATTAACTAATGCTCATACATTAAAATACCTTAATTTGAAAACAGAGTACTTTAATATGTAAGAACATTTTTATTAAGGGACTAGATAGACGTAGGGACAGAAACAAGAGTCAGGGATGTAACCTGTAGAAGAAGCTCATTGCAGTCAGTGAGTCAGAGAGCTACTGGCATCTGAAGCTCTGCAGGTATCCCTGCAGGTCTGAAGGTGCCCTTGAACTTAAAGGTAAGTCAGAGAAGTGAGAGACGTTCAAGTGCTTTCAGCAAATTCTTTCCTTGACTTTAGTCACAGAATCCATAAATGTAATAATTGGTCCCAGTAGGATAAATGCTCAGCAAAATCTATGAAGATTTTAGGAAGTGATCTTCAGTAGCATCTGAAAGAAGAGAAGGAATAAAAACATGCTGGGAGTTACAGAATGTAATTCACTGTGCATTTTCCAAGAAAACTTAAGAATTCGGTTAAAAGTCATTTTACATAATAAATCTACTCTTACGATCTCATTTCAAGAAAATAGGACACATCAAATGGGATGATCCCTTTTATCCAAGAACTTGCAACTGATTGTGACAACGTTTTAATTTCCTTCTCGTAAACATAAATTTTCCCAATTTGTGATAGAGCTTCGTTTTGCTTTGTTTAGGTTGGTCCCTGCTGTTTGTATACTCTATGCTGCACACTGTTACTACACTTAAGTGGAGCTAGAAGAGCCAGAGGCTTTCTTTCAACTCCAAGACCATCCACTGGATTGTAAAGGAAGACTGGAATGTTCGTAGGTGCTCAGTTTCACCAAGCAGTACCTCAGCATTTATAGATGAGTACTTGTCACTCCCTGAGACTCATGGAGATTCAGTCCAGACTATTTATGAAGAAAGCCACAGGGAGAGAAGGATGTCAGGTAACCTTTACTGGAATTTGAACTTTGGGCTGAGGGGTCTTTTCTCTAGAAGCAGCTAATGATCAAGAGAGACTTTGCCATGGTAACAATGGTACTGAAATGTCTTTTTTTTCCTAGACACATCTAATATTTTCAAAAATTGGACTTACAAAACAGCTATACTAAATGTTGAGTGTGTGTTTGTAAGTGTATTCAAGAAAAAGTCAAAAGGGCCAAACGTCTACAAACATACCAAAACTACACCAGCAGGCCAGAAATGTGTACATGATACAAAGGAGGAGATAAAATGGTTAAAATGGGGTTGGGACTCTAAGGGGACTAGTGTGTTATATTTTAAAACAAAGAAAAACACATTAAAGGCTTTTAAAATTGCAGAATTTAAAAGATTGCTAACAATGTGCCAGCTATCATTTTATTTCATGTACAGGCAAACCTAATTTTGTTCAACAAAACAAAATTGCCACCTCCTGTTTGTAGAGGTGTAATGCAGGCTTTTTGTATTACCAAAAGGAAAGAGGAAAGTGAGGAGGTGTGAGAAATAATCTGGTTTACGAGGAAAGCTGGAGTGAAAATAAGTTTGTGCACGTTATTTTAAGTGTGTAAGGTACACACACGTATGTGCTTGATTCAGGAGGATATGGAGACCAGGAAAATTGCTTTGAACATGGGATTATTTTCTTAGGATTACATTGGGGTGAGAGATCAAATCATTGACTAAAAAGGCACACATATTTGTTTAAGGGATTTTTTTTTCAAAATATTAAATCATTTAGACTTCAGGGGGAAAAAAACTATTAACTAGCCTGTTCATTTTGCACATTTCCCCCCTTCAATCAGATCATCTTCACCAATTCCCTTGATTAACATTGCTCAGTGTACTTAGATTCATTAATATGAATCTAAGGCCTACTTAGATTCATATGAATTAAATCACCTCCTGCCTGTGTACTTTCTTTCCAATTTATATCACTATCTTTATTATACACTAGGTTCTTCTATACACTAGGTCCTTTCCTTAGCATTTCTTGTCTCTAACATATTTTTACTTTTTTCCATGTCTGTGATTTGTCTGTGTAATCCCCTTTGAATGTGAGCTGCATGTAGACTGAAATTTTTTTTATCTGACACATAGATGGCATTGAATGAATGAATGAATGAATGGTTGAAAAATCACCTCAAAGAGGTCTTGTCAGTCTAAAGTAGCATCATTTATTGTTTCTCCCACAATTAGTTTCTATCCTATTGCGATAGTTATTTCACTGTACCTTTGGTCTCTATTTGAAATCATCTTCATTTTCATGACTAAAATGAAAGCTTCATGAGAGCAGAGATTTTGCTATTTTGTTCCCTTCTATATCTCTCCAAAGTAGGCTAATCCTAAAGACTCAGAACATTTTTTCACATGAATGTGTACTGGTAAATTGCTTTTCAGAAAGACTAAATTTTTTGCTGCCATTAGCAACACATGGGAGCCTCTTCCACCATGCCCATAACCTAACATATAAATTTAATAGGCCCTTTTGTTTTTTATTTATATTTTTTATTGATCTCAGGAAGGAAGGGAGAGGGAGAGAGATAGAAACATCAATGATGAGAGAGAATCATTGATCAGCTGCCTCCTGCACACCCCACACTGGGGATGGAGCCCACAATCCGGGCATGTGCCTTGCCCAGGAATCGTACCACGAGCTTCTGGTTCATATGTTAATGCTCAATGAGCCACACCAGCTTGGCTCTTTTACTTTTTAAAAATTATTAATGGGAATACATATATTTTTCATATATTGCTTAGCTATTTATATTTCTTATTTCTTGTAATCATCCATTTTTAACTATTATGTATATATGTGATATATCCATAGGTATATATTTATCACAGTTTGCAATTGCTTATTCATACAGTTGTAATTTGCCTTTAAATTCTATTATATGTTGATGTAAACATTTTATAATTTATTTGTTTAAATCTGTATGTATCTCTGATCTGTGACTTATCTCTTTGTTTTTGTATTTAAAAATTAATTGATTCTTAGTTCAGAAAAAAAAAATTGTAATTAAAAACTGTACTTCTTTAATCCTGATAAAATGTATTATCTTATACTAGAGGCCCAGTGCACAAAATTTGTGCATGAGAGGGAGTGTTCCTTAGCCCAGCCTACACCCTTTCCAATCTAGGACCTCTCGAGGGATGTCCAACTGCTGGGGATCAGACCTAAACCAGCAGTCGAGCATCCTTCTTACAATCCAGGACCATTGGCTCCTAACTGCTCACCTGCCTGTATAGCTGATCTCCCCAAATCACTCTGCATGCCTGCCTGATTATTCCTAACTGCTCTCCCCTTGCCGGCCTGATTGCCCCTAACTGCCTCTGCCTTGGCCCTGCCACCATGGATTTTGTCAGGAAGGGCATCTAGAAGATGTCCAGTCTATTTGGTCTAATTAGCATATTACCCTTTTATTAGTATAGATATTAAAGTGATGCTATACCTATTTCTTTAAAAATCAGTTCTTTCTTTCCAATTTATATCACTATCTTTATTATACACTAGGTTATTTTATAAAAATACATTTTCTGGGAAAACTTTCCCCTTTATTATAACCTATTGAAAAACATGCTTGACTTTGATGTAGACTAACTAGGGAGCCACTGTAATTTTTCAACCTAGCATTTCTTTGATTTGAAATGACCATCTTGATCTCTGCAGAACTGTTCGTCACTTCAGATGATAGCTAGTAAAACTACAAAATTATAATGGAAACATTACCCCTTATTCAAGTTGGATAGTATTTTTCTGTATTGTAGAATGCTATCTTTTTCCCTGTGGAAGTCAGCAATTCATTCAAGAGCTACATTCACCTTTACTTGCTACAAATAAATATTTGATCATTCTTCAAATAGTATTTAACTTAATTTACCCAGATGTGTTATGCCAACTAATTCTTGTATTTTCTTCTTGAATATATTCTCCTCCCTCTCTTCCTCTCTGTCAGTATTTGTGGAGTGCCTACTATGAGCCTTTTTGGTTGTAGGGATCCAGTAGTGAACAAAATGGACAGAAAAATCCCTTTACTTATTAAGCTTATATTGTAGTGGGGAGAGGAAACATAATAAGAAAAATAAAATATATAGTATATTAGGTGGACAAGTTGGGGGGACATGAAGTGGGAAGAGATAGAAGCAGTAACTGGGATTATAAGTACCATGTAGTTATATGTAGTATAAGAAGCAAATGTCTTTCTGAGTAGTTGTCATTTAAATAAATGTTACAGAATGATGACGCATTATTCTTAATAGCAGATAAGTTTGATTCTAAGAAATGCACAAGTTCTTCTTAATCAGCACTCAAATTATGATTGTAATTTTTTCTTCCATTTTTGACTTCAGTTTCTGAAAGTAAAGCAATTAAAAAAGACTGACTATAGGGAAATAATAAATTTTCAGGTAGAAAAAGTTTTCCATTATGGATCTTTATGGTGAGATATTTTTAATAAGTAGGTTAATTTTCTAGGAGAAAAAAATGTTATGACAATGTAATTTTAAAGGTAAAATAATTTACTTCCTACTGTCCTTCAAGGAGCAATGTGGTATGGGCTATGATGAGTATTGGATTCATGAACCTTGCCTCCCTAGCCCACTAGTCTGTGACTTTGGAGAAGTCACTTGAGTTCTGGAACCCAGTCTCTTCATGTTGCAAAGTGGAATGAATTCCTACCTCATGGGTACACACTTACAACAACAGACAAATTAAGTCCCAGAGATCTAATAATGCACAGTACAGTGAATATAGACAACAATATTGTATTATAATCAACAAACTTACTGATGGACTAGGTCTTAATTATTCCTGTTACAAAAAGAGAAGTAATTATGCGATGTTGGTAGAGGTGCTTGTAGGGTACAGCTATGGGGTCAAGTCTCAGACTGACCTGTGGCAGGGCCACAAACAAGTCCCAGCTTGGAGGGCAGAGCCCTCCTGGCATAATTAAGCTTGAACTTACAGTCCTCCCTTGTTTCTAGGTAGCTAATGGGTTGTGGGAGGTGCAGCAAGTGCTTCCAAAACAAGGTGAAACTGGCAAGAACATTGTAAACATGTTGACCACTTCCCTTGTTTTGCTTTGTGTGCTCTGACTATAAAATGAAGCTTTGGCTTGCAGGCTGGATCTCTCTGTGTCCTCATCCAGGATCAAGAGATCCACCTAGCCCCACCTGTATTCTCTTGTCTGTCTTCTTTAATCCTTCACCACCCCTTCTCAGGTTCACCCCTGGCTGTGCTGAGCATGGTTCAGGTGCTAACTATTGCTACAACTGCAATAACATTACAATATATAAATATATCCAATGACTTGTATATCTTAAATTTACACCATGCTGCATGTCATATAAATGGAGTGGCCAGATTATTATGACCACCTGAAATTTGTAGGCAAATTAGGATTACCCTGAGTCATATGGGATGTGAAAGTTGAAGGCCTGTTCGAACACCTTTGCTAACTGCAGTTACCTAGATAAAATGTCTCCAATTTGCACAGAAACACAAGGATTGGACAGTCGAGCATTGTAAAAATGTCATGTGGTCTGATGAATCATGTTTCCAGTTGCATCATGCAGATGGCAGAGTGAGAATTTCTCAGAAATAGCATGAAAGCATGCATTCCACATGCATGAGTATAACCCTTCAAGCTAGTGGAAGCAGTGTTATGGTTTGGGGCATGTTTTCCTGGCATGATTTGAGTCCTTTAATTTGTGTGGAACAATGTCTGAATATCACAACATACCTACGTATCGTTGCTGATCAATTTTTTCCTATTAGCCAAAACCGGTTTGGCTCATTGAATAGAGCATCAGCCTGTGGACTGAAGGTCCTGGGTTCGATTCCTGTCAAGGGCATGTACCTTGGTTGCGGTCATATCCCCAGTAGGGGGTGTGCAAGAGACATCTGATCGGTGACTCTCTCTCATCCATGTTTCTAATTCTCTATCTCTCTCCCTTCCTCTCTGTAAAAAATCAATAAAATATATATTTTTTAAAGTTTATCCTATCATATTGATGATATATTCCAATGGAGATGGCTTCTTCCAACAAGACAAAGTGCCATGCCATGGTGCTCGTATTGTGCAAGAGTGGTTTCAAGAACATGAGGGAGACTTTACCTTAGTTAGGTGGCCCCCACAATCACCAGATCTCAATCCAATTGAGCGTTTGTGGGACAAAATTAAACGAGCCATCAGGCAGCTGGTCCCACAACCATCAAATCGCACAGAACTGGACAGTGCTGTTCATCAGGCATGGTGTCAGATTCCTCGCATCACCTTTCAACATCTCATGGAGTCTATGCCAAGAAGAATCACCACAGTATTGAAGATAAAATGTGGCCCACTGAAGTACTGATGGGGTGTTCATAATAACCTGGCCATTCAGTGTATATTTTAATAAAAATGAATAATGCATAAATATAAATAATTCCAGTGCCTAAAATAGGAAAACTGCTAAAATATATATATATCTTGAGTTCTTGTTTTTCACTATATTTATTTTTTTAAGTGTAGGTGAAGTTATGTGCAAGAAGGCTTTACCCAAATATTTTTATGAGCCCTGGACTATTGGTGAGGATGACATTTTGTTCCCTTGTACAAGGTGATTTTGGCATGAGTCATATTATCTTTAGAGTCCAAGGTACATTTGGTCATTTTGTAAACTTATGAAGTTAAAATTCATTGTTTTTCTTTTTAGCAATATTCAAAACTTATACATTATTTTGTAAGAAACTATTTTTGTGGGAAATGAGTTTATGTTTGCTCCAAAAGAGAAACTGTTCAGTGGATAACTTAATTGTCTTGTAAATCATCCAGAATTGTGATTTCTGGATGTAGCTAGAACACATTGTTTGCAAAATAACACTTTTGACCGTGATTGTGAATCTACACCACAGAGAGCCTTTTCTGCAGTGGTAATTCCTGTGGATCAGAAGGTCTGGGTTTGAAATCATAGCTCTGGACAGGTTGTTACACTGTATCAGAGTTGTTACACTGTATCTTTATAGTGATATACTATATAATAAAAGCCTAATATGCTAAGTTCCTGATCATCCAGTCATCTGTTCAACCAATTCTACCTAATAAAAGAGCAATATGCAAATTAACCATCACTCCACTACACCCATCAGCCACACTCATCAGCTAATCAGTGTGAGTATGCAAATTAACCCCAACCAAGATAGCTGCAGCCACAGAGAGTAGGAGAGAGGCTTGGGTTTCCACGGTAATAGAAGAAGCCAAGCTTCTGCAGCCCTGGCCAGCCTAGGCCTCCACTCCAGGCTACAAAGTTTTAATTATAGAAGGTGAATAAATCTAAACAGAAATGGAGGCAGCCACAGAGCAAGTAGGGGGCTTGGCTCCTCTTCAGGCTACAAAGTTTCAATGGTAGGAAGTAAATAAATTCCAAATACCAGGGCCTCCCTTGGGTTGTTGGGGGCAGGGCTGGCCTGCAAACCACCACAGGCCCCTTGCTCGCCCAGGCTGCCCCACGCCCCAAGGTTACCCCCACCCTGATCCAGGACACCCTTCAGGGCAAATCAGCCAGTCCCCACCCATGTACCAGGCCTCTATCCTAAATAATAAAAGAGTAATATGCAGATTGACCATCACTCCAACACATGAGATGGCTGCCCCTGGTGGTTAAAGATCCTGCTGCCATGTGGATACAAGGTAGCCACCACAAGATGGCCAGCAGGGGAGGATATTTGGGAGGGACCAGGCCTGCAAGGGAGGGCAGTTGAGAGGGACCAGGACTTCAAAGGAGGGCAGTTGGAGGCAATCAACCCTGCAGGGCAGGGCAGTTAGGTCGACAGAAGAGGGAAGTTGGGGACAAACAGGCTGGCAGGGGAGCAGTTTGACATCAATCAGACTGGCATGGGAGTGGTTAGGAGGTGATCAGGCTGGTGGGCAGAGGCTGTTAGGGGCAATAAGGAAGGCAGGCAGGTGTGCAGTTGGGAGCCAGCAGTCCTCGATTATGAGAGAGATGTCCAACTGCCCGTTTAGACCTGATCCCGGTGGGCTTGAACATCCCTTAAGGAGTCCCAGATTGGAGAGGGTGCAGGCTGGGCTGAGGGACACCCCTTCCTCCTGTGCACGAATTTTGTGCACCAGGCCTCTAGTCAAAGCATAATATGCTACTGATGTGCTAAGGTTGCTCAACCACTTGCTATGACATGCACTGTCCACCAGGGGGCAGACACTTTAACCTGTAGATTAGTTTGCTGCTAGAGTCTGGTTGATCAGGACTGAGTGAGACAGCAGGACACAGCCTGGAACCTTCTGTGATCCTTCCCTGGCTGGCTAACCTCCTGCATCCCTCCATTGCCTTGTTTGTGCACTGGTGTGTCAGACAGCCAGTTTCAGCCTGCTCCAACAGGCCAGGCCGAGGCACTCCACTGGTGCACGGATTTGTGTATCAGGCCTCTAGTTAGAGTAATAAAAGGTTAAAATGAGTTTTGAAAACAAACTATACAAATATTAGATGCAATGCAACTCAGAGTTAACAGATTGCTTTTTAGAACAGGTAATTAGTGAGGAATTTTGATTCTTTTTGAGCATAGATAATTGAAAGCTTGTTTCTCTCCTTGGCACCAAAATAGCAGTGCAGATAATTTGGGGGGAAATGAAGTGAGTAATAAAGAAAAGCATGCATAGCATCTGAAACCTTTTACCCTGAAGAACTATATTAAGAGTACTAGAGGCCCAGTCTAGGATCCCTCAGAGATCGGGCCTAAGCTGGCAGTCAGACATCACTCCCGTAGTCTGGATCCCTTGCTCTTTACTGCCTGCCTGCAGTGGAGTTGGGAGAAACTCCCACCACTGCCACTGCACTCATGAGCCATGAACTGGCTCCTGGCTGAGCAGTGCTCCCACTGTGGGTGCACCCTGACCAACAGGGGGCAGCTCCTGCATTGCACATCTGCCCCCTGGTGGTCAGTGCACATCATAGTGACTGATTGTTCCACCATTCGGTCAATTTCCATATTACTCTTTCATTATATAGGTTTGCTTTCAGATGGAACTCTGCATGGAACCAGCATTATCTGCATTTATCCCACATAGACCCTGGGCTATACCAAACATAATCCTGAGAGAGGAGCTGGTTTTCCATATGTTGCAGGTAAAGGCTTCTCAGTGACACTAACCACCTCCTGTTAACTTTTTTCTATAACAATTAGAGAAGAAAGCTGGCAGCTTTGATCTGAAAGGGCATATAGCAAAGCCTCTTTAAAATGTGTTTTATACTCATTCCCTTTTTTTTATTTCTAGGTCCAAAAGTCAGTAAAGTAACCAGACATTGTCAGAATTCAAACCAGAGCATGTGGCCACTTGTAATGATGTTATTCTGACCAAACCAGCAGGAATCATACAGATTCCAAGATATTTTGACAGAACCACTATGAGGTGAGTTAGGAATATTTGTTTTTATGAAAGAAGTATGTAAATAATTACTTGACAGGTAGCAATACTTAGTGTTTATCTAAAGTCTTATTTTTCACCTTGTCTCCTTAAAGAATAGACTTTTAGATAATCCCTGAGCTTAGTCCTTCAATATGCAAAAGCTGATTGTAAGATTAACCCTGTTGACAAATTGTATTTTTTTTTAACAAAAGAAGTAATTAATCAGGAAAAATGGAAATTCAAATCTCTATCAAAGAGTTTTAGGAATTAATGTGTGTAGAATCTTCTGGCACTTAGTGAGTACTCAGTAATTGTTTCTAAAAATTGCCATATGGAAATAGAACTTTCCTGGAATTAAACAACTGATAAATTTAAAGGATAAGTGAATCCTTTTCCTCCCAACCCTTTTCCCATTAAAAAATTAATAATAAAGTACACTTGTAAAAATTTAAAGGAATAAATGAAAAAGTGAAGATTTATATAATATCAATCCTAACTAAATTTATATGATTTGGGATAGTTTGGGGGAAAATTAGGCAAGAGTAATACCCTGACTCTTAGAGATTGTCAGTCAGAACTTTGAGTAACTTACATGACTCACCAACCATTTTCCGTGATTGGTAAATTTACATAAGCCTTTTGACTCATTTAGTACTAGAAAATATTTTTTCATTGCTGTAAATTAAAGTATAATAGAAATCTTTCTCTCTCTCAAGCACAAAGGAATAAATATAAAAACGAAGGCATGCTAAGTCAATAACAGTGATACATTAAATTCTAAACAAAGTAAATAACAGTATATGCTGTTTAGAAATCATTTCTGATATTCCTCCATCTGTGCCATAGTTGACACTGGAGGTTATTAGCTCCTTAAAATCACATAATTCACCTAGATATTACTAACTTCCAGATGAAGCCAGCATGGTTGCCTGTCAGGGTCCCCTGTGGGTTTATGATGGTTTTAGATTAAGCAAAAAATTAGTAGGTAATTAATCTCCCAAGAGAAACTGTTTTGTTTTTTTTAATTTATTTTCTTTTATGAAATACCACTGGCCTGGTGCACAAAATTCATGCATATTAGATGGGGATTAATTAGAGGAAATATTTTAATATTGCTATTTGCCTTTTCTCTATAATAGAAGTATCAGAGATGAAAGAAAATTAGTAAAATGTATATGAAAATCTTTCTCCTGTCAGAGTCTGGGGCACATCATGGGTCCCTGCCCACCCACATGCATCTCAAAATTGCACAAGACCTAGACACTGCTCTTCCCCCCCTACCCCCCCTACCCCCACATTGGGCTAGATTCAGACCCAGCTGGTCCCACCCTTGTCAAGCCCCGTTGAGTGGCGGGTGCAGCCTCAGGTCCCCTGGCCCAGCTTCAGGGTAGGGGGTGTGGCCTGAGGTCCCCCAGCTTGGGCCAGGGCAGGGGGGAGCATCCTGAGTTCCCCCAGCCCAACACCAGGGCCATGGCAGGGTGTGTACCTTGAGGTCCCCCATCAAGTCCTGCTGGGTTGGGGGCATGGCCTGAAGTCCCCCAGTCTGGCACCAGGGTGGGGTTTGTGACCTGAGATCCCCTATCAAGCCCCACGAGAGTGGGGGGTGGGGGGAGGGCACAACATCAGGTCCCTGGTGATTGTTCATTAAGGCTCGTTATGGGAACTCGGCCTCTTCTGTGGGTGCAGTCATCTTGTGTTATAGAAATCCTGCCTCCACTGTGGGTGCCACCATCTTTGTGGCAGAGTGACAGTCAATTTGTATATTCTCTCTTTATTATATGATTGTTTTATATTCAGTGTAAATTAATCTCTTATATGATATTGAGAAACCTTACTGTTACTATATTTTTTTAGATTTATAATTGAGATTAATCAAATACTCCCTCAAAGTAAGTTGCAAACAAAACTCAACTATATGCTGCTTACTTGGGTCATACTTAGATTAAATTTGTCCAGAAATACCCCAAACAAAGGATAAATAAAGCAGTTTTAGACAATGGTAGCACAAGAACATTGAGACTTTAATATCAATTAGGCAAAAAATATAGGAAAAGACATTAAATGGAAACAGGACTTAGGCTGGCTGACTAACAGTACCCGAGGTAATGGGATCTGATGGTCCTGGGTTCAAATCTCAGTTCTACCACACAGTAGTTCAGTGACAGGTGCACTATAAACTCCCTGTTTACGTAGTCAACAATATGCATGCCTACTGAAATAAGGCAACTGCCCAGAGCGGGGGGAGATAGAGCATTTCACTGGCCTTTGACTTCCTAAAAAGGAAAAACATCCCAGGGTCATGCCAGAGTTGATAAATCAGCCAATTGTTAAACCACGGTTGTTTTTTTTCTTTGGGCTTACACATTACCATCCCAGAAATAGGCACAATGACGAGCTTTGTGTTTCTATTTAAGGGAATGTCAATAAACAAGGAGCTTCCTGGTTTCTGAGCCAACTTTGCATCAAAAGCTTCGTAGCTTCTTGTGAGGAGAATGCAGGATCTGGGCCCAGTACCACTGGAAACTAGCTGTGCTTCCTCCTGTCTTTCCTTACAGAATACCTATCACTTATATTGTCTCAAAGGGTGGTTTTGAGACTTTAATGAGGCCTGTTAATTAATACAAAATCAAAGAAGCTTCTTCTGTGTTTGAATTAAGAAGATACATTCCCCTTTCTATTCTTTAATTGTGCTGCTTGGAAGAAAATATTAGACTGTTTTTTCCCTATTGCCTTTCCATGAGTAGGGTGTCTTAGTGTATATAGTTTGGAAGAACGAAGAAATACAGAAAAAGAGGGAAATAGTACATTAGCTATATCAGTTATCTATATATATTTAAAAGCCTAAGCAACCGTTACAACCAATCGACTGAATGACTGGTTGACCGGTCGCTATGATGACACACTGACCACCAGGGGGCAGAAACTCAATGCAGGAGCTACCCCTTGGTGGTCAGTGCACTCCCACAGCCAACCTCCCAGGGCTAGCCAATCTCCCAAAGTCCTTCCCCTGATCTGACCCCAATCAGCCCCCATCACCAGCCAGATTAAGGGACCCCACCTGTGCACAAATTTGTGCACCAGGCCTCTAGTAATATATAATGTTAATGAACTATAGATCAATTCATCTTTACTTAGAATTAGTTCTCAAAACATATGTAGTACTTCCTATATCAGCCCCCAAACATTTTAATGACTCCATTTCAATTTTTGCAAGTAAGGTTTACAAACTCTAGGCACTAACTTAATGCTTGAGGTCAGTAGATTATCCAATGAATACTTAGCATGACCAAGTATTATGATTTATCCCTAAAATGCAAGGATAGTTTTTTAATATTGATAAATACCTATGCATCATATAAGTAGGTCATATTAAGAAATCTAGATATAGAGGAAACCAAGATGGCGGCATAGTTAAACACCTGAACTTGCTGCCTCACACAGCAACTTTAAAAATTACAATTAAAAGACAAAACTGACATCATCCAGAACTACAGGAATACTGGCTGAATGGAAATTCCACAACTAGAAGGAAAGAGAAAAGCACACTGAGACTCAGAGGAGAAGCAGAAGGCAGAGTTATGGAGGTACTCTCACAGAGAAGGCTGGCAACTGAGTACACAGCTAGCTTTTTTCAAGCCAGAGGGAGATACAAGCTCCCAACTGCTCTAACTCCAGTTCTCAGCAAGACTCTGGGGACCCAGGCTCATAATGGGAGAAACTGGACTGTCTGGCAGCAGGCAGAACTCGAGGGCAGCTTTTTCTCAGAGGTGTAGGACACTGAGACCCAGGGGCCTCTTAAGGCAGGGCTGACAGAAAGCCATTGCTGTTTGCTCCATCCTGAAACTCTGCCCCAACCAAGCTGTGCTCAGAGGCTTTTGCATATGAAAGGCCTGGTCCCTTGAATTCTAAATTACCTATCAAACTGCAGCTGAGTCATAGAGACCCAGTACATCCAAAAGAAGGCCCAAGGCACCACAGCAGTTTGCATTGCTTCACAGCTGGGCCTCATTTGGGCACCTCCAAAACCCAAACAAAGAAGAGGAATCTGCAGATTTCTCTGTAGATCCTGCTGGGTGGCCTCGGGCAGAGGATAAATTAGCGCCTCCTTAGAGAGCCAAGAGCCAGGGTACCCAGGGGTCAGAGTAGGATCATCCAGATTACAACTCCTCAGATCCATAAGGGACATACTCAGAGGGCAGATACAACCAGCACCAAAGTTCTCCCATCTTAGACAGAGCTGATCCTCACAACCAATTGGCCTGGAGGTCAATTCCTCCCAGTGATACCAACATCAATCAAGGCTTAACTACAATAAGACTGTGCACACAGCCCACAAAGGGGTGCACCAAGAGTGTCCACTTCAGGTAACTGGAGAGGCTGAGCCACTCGACATTATAGGGGAGCAGACAAAGCCACAAAGCCACTCTATCAACTCAGGGGAGCAGCCAAAATGTGGAGACAAAGAAACAGATCACAAATGAAAGAAATGGAAGAATGCAAACTATTGGATATAGGGTTCAAAACCAGTTATAAGGTTTTTCAAGAATTTTCTAGAAAAAGGCCGATAAATTTAGTGAGACTCTTGAGGATATGAAAAGAACCAACTAGAAATTAAGCATACAATGACTGAAATAAAAAAAATAATATACAGAGATCCAACAGCAGACTAGAGGATCACAAGAATCAAGTCAAAGATTTGAAGTACAACAAAGCAAAAAACACCCAACCAGAAAAGCAAAAAGAATCCAAAAATATGAAGATAGTATAAGGAACCCCTGGGACAACTTCAAGTTAACCAATATCAGAATTATGGGGGTGCCAGAAGAAGAGAGAGAGCAAGACACTGAAAACATATTTGAAAAAAAATGACAGAAAACTTCCCCTACCTGGTGAAAGAAATAGACTTACAAGTCCATGAAGTACACAGAACCCCAAACAAAATGAATCCAAAGAGGACCACACCAAGACACAACATAATTAAAATGCCAAGAGCAAAAGGCAAAGAGAGAATCTTAAAAGAAGCAAGAGAAAAACAGTTACCTACAAGGGAGCACCCATAGGACTGTCAGTTGATTTCTCAACAGAAACTATGCAGGCCAGATGGGAGTGGCAAGAAATATTCAAAGTGATGAATAGCAAGAACCTACAACCAAGATTACTCTACCCAGCAAAGCTATCATTCAGAATTGAAGGTCAGATAAAGAGCTTCACAAGTAAAAAAAAAAAAAAAAGCTAAAGGAGTTCATCACCACCAAACCAGTATTATGTGAAATACTGAAAGATATTCTTTAAGAAGAGGAAGAAGAAGAAAAAGGTAAAGATAAAAATTATGACAACAAATACATATCTATCAACAAATAAATCTAAATATCAAGTGAATAAAAAAATCTGAGGAACAGAATATGTCATGGGCATAGAAAGGGAGTGGATTGAAATCCTCAGGGGGAAAGGGGTGGGGGCAGGAAAAGATTGGACAAAAATCATTTACCTATGGATGAGGACAGTGGGGCGGGGGAAGTTAAGAGCATGGGGTGGGGTGGGTGGGAACTGAGTGGAGGGGAGCCATGGGGGGAAAATATGAACAACTGTAATAATCTGAACAATATAGATTTTAAAAATAAATCTAGATACAAATTAATTATATAGCAATTATATCTTTAAAACCATGCCAGTAATAATTAGTTAATAAATATAATAGAAAAGTCATTTCCACTATAGTTAACAACAAAAACTATAATGTTAGGAAAAACCATAAAATAATATATGAGACCTATCATCAAAAGTAAAACTTTATACACAGACACATATACAAAACCATCCACAGGCACATATACACAAACAGATCTGAATAGAGAAAAGTAATATGTTCTAATACTAGAAGACAGAATAAACATTACTTCATCCCAAATTAATTTACAAATATATTTCCCAACACAATTCTAATGGGACCTTTTTTTCAGAGAGTAAGGAAGAACTTTATAAGTCTAAAGTTTTTCTTTAAAATAAATACATGAGCTGAAAATGCTTTGGGGGGAAAAAGACCAGGTGATGAAGCAAATTATCAGATATTAAAACACACTTTAAAACAATGATAATTAAACCAGAGTAGTGCTAGTTCAAAAAGAGACATATATAAGTGGACCCGAAGTGAAATCAGAAATATGGGCATTTATATGATAAATTTGACATTACAATTCAGAGAGGAAAATAAAGTTTATTCTTTATCATATCATAGAATAGATGATTAAAGAGTTAAACATTTTTCTTAAGCCATTGAAAGTAGAAAAAATAGGTAATTACTTAACTATAGATGGAAAAGAATCTTATCATATAAAACCAATGAAAGAAAATGGAAAATTATCAATAAATTTCTATAAAACTAAAACCTTTTCTGCTCTAACCAAAACGAAATCTAAAAAACAAATAAATGGGATTATCAACAACTCTGAGAAAGGGTTAAGATAATTAATATAGAGAATGTTTAAATCTGTATTAGAAAAGCTCTATTCTGTAAAAATAAATTTATAGGTCCACTTTCTTTAGGTTGTCCTTGATTAAATTTCAAGTTGAAACCAGTCTCCAAAGCTTTTGACTTTTGTTCACTTCCTAGAGAATGACAAACTATTGACCCAAGTGATTTTGAGAACAAAAAGCACTGGGTTAACCATTAGCCTCTTTTAATAGATAAGAAGAGTTAGTGAATGTTTGCATATCAGTTACTATACAATCTAAATTAAATCTCTTCTTATTTTGTGTCTTGTCACAATGAAATTAATCCTCTGGCCACCTCTTTACCCGGAAAGGACAGTTTTTCTATAATAGCAAAACATCTTAATTAGTTCCTTATTGATTCAAAACCTTGAAACTATGAATGTTATAGCATACTACCTTTGTTAGAATGTTTGTTTCAGAAAATACCGTGTTTGATCAAAGTTGAAATGGTTTATCATAGGAAGCAAATTTAAATAATCAACCTTATGATATCCATGACTATGACATTTGTAATGGACCACTACTTGACTCAGCAAGTATAAAGTAAGTCTATTTTTTTAACTAAAAGGATCTCTAATGTAAAGAAAAAATAAGTACAACAAATAAGAGTTTAACCAATTAATTTTGAAACACAACTCTGACTCACTATTTTTGTAGATAATACCATAATAGGAAATGAGTAAATAACTTACATGAGCAATTTATAGACATGTAAACACATATGAGAAAAAATATTAAGCTTGTTAAACAGGACTGAGAAAAAAAAGTACATAGTAAGTTGCCAAAATATTTTAAAGTGGTTATTTTTATTAAATAAAATAAATTGTGGCTGGCATTTTTATGTTATCATTGACGTATAGTATGGGAGTGTACTTTCTGGAGGGAGATATAGAAATTTTTAAAAGTTAACTGTTTATTCACTGTTTCTATTTTTAGCCATACTTATTAAAAATATACTTTATATATGTGTAAAGACATTTATGTACAAGATATCTGTTCATCTAGTGTTACTTATAATGACCAAAAAATAATTTAAATGGGAAATTGGTTAAGAAAAGTATAGTTAATCCATAAGATAAAATATTATGCAGGCACTAAATAAAATGTTTTCACATAATGTTTTTATGAAACTGGAAAACCCTACATGTAATATTGAATGAGACCAGGATGAAAAACTACATAGTACAATTAAAAAATTTTAAAGTGTTACGTAAAGGCCTAAAGGAAAACACACCAATATGTTTAAGTGGATAATTCTGGAGTACAAGATTATGAGTAATTATTTTTGAAATTATCTAAATTTTCTCTAGTGAATGAACATTCTGATCTTAAAACTATAAGAAGCAAGGAAGATGAAAAACTGTTTGTTCTAGTTGAATTAGCTCTGTGAGAAAGAACTTCAAGGCTACTAGCAGTCCACCTGATAAAATTGAGAACAATCTCTGTAGGATTTTCAACTCCATCACTTTCTGAAGGGTGCTTTATGTCCTGGGGCAATGGGAAGGTGCACCATTGCTAATTAGTTCTAGGGTTCTGAGTCTCAGGAGACCTGTAAAAATGACTGCCTAAAAAGTTTCATTTAGGTGAGCTAGTGATTTTGACTTTCATGCTAGTTACTGCTACTTGCCTCTTATTCAATTGGTATGCTGCAAATAAATGAACGTTGTACCAGTATACAGCGAAGGCTTCAAATACGCTCTCTATAGATGATTATTTTACTTAAGTCTGGTGACAAAATTAATTTTTTTTTTGTTCCCTAAGGAACTAGCCAGTCCATGTCACCTTCTCTAATACTAAGTAGCTTAAAAATATCTACTAAGGTCAGTCTAGACATTATATGAAATGGGTAATGTGTCCTATTTGGTTTAGAACAGTGGTTCTCAACCTTTCTAATGCCATGACCTTTTAATGCAGTTCCTCATGTTGTGATGACCCCCCAACCATAAAATTATTTTCGTTGCTACTTCATAACTGTAATTTTGCTACTGTTATAAATCATAATGTAAATATCTGTGTTTTCCTATGGTTTTAGGCGACCCTGCTAGTAATGGGTTGAGAACTGCTGCTGTAGAGCCTAAGACCATCTGAAAACACAGATAATTATATTGCAATTCATTAACAGTAATAAAATTACAGTTATGAAGTAGCAGCAAAAATAATTTTATGGTAGGGGATCATCACAACATGAGGAATTATATTAAAGGGTCATGGCATTAGAAAGATTGAGAACTACTGGTTTAGAACCTCTTAGAACTGCTTAGATTTAGGAATCTGGAACTTAACACTCTCTATTCTAATTGGATTTTATTCTGCTTACTTTTCCCATTCTTATATTTTTAGGAATAAATATGGTATAAATTTGTAATTTCAAAAATAAAGTTTTATTTTCTCTTATTTTGCTCAATTACCTTAGCCTTGATGAATAGTAAGAATTTATTTTTTATTTTTTATTTTTGGCTAGGAAATTTATGTGATGGAGATTCACCTTCATTAAAATCTGATGCTCCTCTTATCATTGATTTTTACAATCAATGTCAGTTTGGCCATGGAAGATTTTTTTTTGAGATATTCTTTTCGTATTTCTGGTAAATATATTGCCTTTTTTAATTTGTTTATGTGTTTATTTTATTATGCTTTGTTATGAAGAGTATATTATCAATTAAACAGATTGGAATTCTCTGTTTCATTTGTCAGATTTAGGGGTGAAGACAAAATAATATTTTTTTTAATTATTATTATTTTATTGATTTTTTACAGAGAGAAATGGAGAGGGAGAGAGGGTTAGAAACATCGATGAGAGAGAAACATTGACCAGCTGCCTCTTGCACACCCCCTACTGGGGATGTGCCCGAAACCAAGGTACATGCCCTTGATCGGAATCGAACCTGGGACCCTTCAGTCCACAGACCGATGCTCCACCACTGAGCCAAACCGGTTTCGGCCAAAATAATATTTAAAGTTGTGATTTTTGTACTTTGTGGAGGCCTCAAGTTAAATCTCTTTAAATATAAAATTGGTTGTATTATTTTATTTTTTTCATATAGCACCTAAAAATTGTGTCCATTTTCCTAGATACTTGGAATATTATAACAATACTAGAGGCCCGTTGCATGAAGATTTGTGCAATAGGCCTTCCTTCCCCTGGCTTCCAGCACTGGTTTTCCTCCAGCACCTGGGACCCAGGCCTTCGCTCTGGCTGGAGTGGTGAAGCCAAGCCTCTTCAGTCTTTAGTCTTCAGTTGTCTTGAGTCTTCAGTCTTCAGTCTTTGCTCTACACCTATCTATGCAAATTAATCCATCTTTGTTGGGTTAATTTGCATTCTCACTCCTAATTGGCTGGTGGACATCGTGAAAGTAGGTCAATTTGCATATTTCTCTTTTATTGGTGTAAATATTCATATTAGTGTAGATGTACATATAGCATAGAAAAATGCCTGAAAGATTTACATTAAATTAGGAGTATTGGTTACTTATAGGCCAGAACTATAGGAGACTTTTTATTTTCTTCTTTTAACTCTATATTTTTAAAATTTTCTACAATATGCTTGTATCATTTATAATCAGAAGAATAAAAAATATAAAGTGTTTGCTTGGATGTATTGACCATGAATATTCTCTTATTCTAGATTTCATGAGAGGAAAAGTTAAATTTAATGATAAAGGTAAGATAATAAAGGAGGTAAGGAATCCAATTAGTTTGGCTTTGGTTACATAATATGATGGAAATAGAATCAGGAATATCCTTGTGGCTAAACACTCCTTATTAAAAAGGGTACTCTGACTTCTGTCAATAACTTTCAGGTATTTGTGGCCTGATTTTAGTTGCCTTATAGTGAAATGTGGATTTGTCTTAGTATTAAACTTTGTCTTAGTATGAATTGTCTTAGTATTAAACTTTGGAGTGATGGACACCCAGGGTAGATTAGGGAGTGGAGAAAAAGGAAGTAGCACCTTATCCAATTAATGGATAAGAAGCACATCGATTTTGTTAATAGGAATCCTCCTAGCTATTTTAAGTCTATTTATTGACATTCTTTGCATATATGTTATGCCTTTTAGATTATGTAGTTCTCTCTGCCTCTCTGTCTTTTTCTTTTTTCCTTTGACCATTTCATAGTGAAACTAAAGAGCTACAATTATTGATTAAATAAATCAATTTTTGGATGGCATTTATTTTAGGTTAAATAATACCTAGGACATTTGGAGTAGGCCCCAAATGTGATTCAGTTCCTCAATTCTCTTTTCTGGTATAGTAGTGCTGTGGCTCTTATGAAATTTAATATCCTGGTTTCAACTACCTGAAAGTGACCCAGATTTTTCTACCTAATAAATATATATAATTTGAATTACCCATGCTGTCAAGCTGAATTTTAGGTGCATATAATTTGCTTGTAGATTTAGTTTAACCAAATACTCAAATTTACTTCTCAATCTGCTTTTCTTGTTCTTTCCTTGCATTTTTTTTTATAGTGAAATTATTTCTTACTGAATTTATGGGGAAATAAAATATTACTGTGGTATTTGCAAATCTAGGGAAGTCCTAAAAGTATTAGGACAAACCTGTTAAAGGTCAATTGTGACTTCACTCATCTCTACACTGAAGATAATAAAATCTAGTTCTCATGATTGTGAATATTAAATGAAATTATATATTATATATGAGCAACAAAATTACATTGAAATGTAGAAGTTAGTGATTTAGTGGTTCACAGTTTGTGAGTAAAAGTCAAAGAACTTCATTCAGTCTGTCTTTTTTGGGGAGTATATGTTTTTCAAAACAAAAGTAATTAAGACCTATAAGGAACTTTGGAAACAAAGGAACAGTGAAAGAAATTAATAAAAGTACTCTATAGTTAAAGTTTTAATGACCCTCTTGTAGACATTAAAGCTAGATTTAAGAAGTAACTCAGCTTTTTAATTACTGTGTTAAATATTCTTTTTTCTTTTGCCTTAGGATGTCCAGTATTGGATTTGATTCCCGTTGGTTCTGTTATAATCACATCTCCCAATTATCCTAATATTTATCCAAGCATGCTGAACTGCACTTGGACTTTGTATTCCATATCAGAAAATAAAATTAAGGCAGTGATTAAAGATGAAAACAGAAGAATCTTGGAACTGTGAATGGAATTACTTCAATATTTATAATGGACCAGATCAGCAATCAAGATTACTTGGTAAATTGATATTTTTAAATGGCCTATGTTAAATGGCACTAAGTATTTATATAATGCATATATGTGGAAAATATGACCTGTAATTACCTTGGGAACAATATCATTTGTTGTCAGTGATTTTCCATCAGATCCTCAATCAGAATTCCAGAGCACAATGTGCTGAGCATGAGACCACACCCACTGGATCTTGACCTTTAATACCAGCTCTTCTTGATTTAAGTCCAATGATTTTTATCTCCCTTTTCCATTAGGGAGCACTTGAAATTGGTGTTTTGTTTTTTTTTGTTTTGTTTTTAAGAGGTAATATGTTTTAAGAGATTTCATTTTCTAAACTGAATATTTAGGTAACTTTTTTGAAAATATGCTTATTCAGGTTTCATTTTCACAATAAAAATGGCCATTTTTTAGACCCAGGGTAAATTAAAAAGGAAAAGGCTAATTAGGTTGAATAATCTTTACAAACTTATTGACCACATGGTGTCTAACATGCTTGGATACCCTGTGCTAAGACTGACTCACAAAGGGAAACTTTTCCAAAGATTTTGTAATCCAATATTACATCACCTCTCTCCAGTCTCCTCTCAGTTCTGCCACTCAGGATACCCTTACAAATTACCTGTCACAAAGGGCAATAGGAGAGTATTTGATAGTATCTTTTCCAAGGACCTTGACTTTTTCTGTGATATTCCAGGATTTATAACATCAATATATCCAACAATTTGTTTCAAAATGCCAAGATTACCTTACTTTTTCTTTTAAAAAATATATATATTTTTAATTTTTTTAACAGAGAAGAAGGAAGAAGGATAGAGAGTTAGAAACATCGATGAGAAAGAAACATCAACCAGCTGCCTCCTGCACACCTCCTACATGCCCTTGACCAGAATCAAACCTGAGATCTTTCAGTCCGCAGGCTGACGCTCTATCCATTGAACCTAACTTTTTCTTATTGGTGAGTTTGGTACCTATCAAGATTTCTAAGACAATTAGAGTATGGGGGAGGGGAAGATAGAGCATTTTAAGCTATTAGTTCTCCTTAAGATTAATTAGAGATATCTCTACAGCAACAGACCTTACAACTCTGAACTCTCATTAAAGCCCTGGAGCCAAAGACCCATGGAACACATCCGTGGTTGAAAATTTTGGATTTGTTACTGCAGAGAGGGAGAACATATATCAGGAGGTCTCAGTTAGAGGGTGTTAGAAAGAATCTACTATAGGATTTGGAGTTTTGTTTTTTTTAAATATATTTTTTATTGATTTTACACAGAGAGGAATTGAGAGGGCTAGAGGGTTAGAAATGTCGATGAGAGAGAAACATCAACCAGCTGCCTCTTGCCCACCCCAGACTGGGGATGTGCCCGCAACCAAGGTGCATGCGCTTGACCGGAATGGAACCCGGGATCTTTCAGTCCGCAGGCCGACGCTCTATCCACTGAGCCAAACCGGTTCGGCAGGATTTGGGTTTTGCTTGGGTAGTTTTGCAGAGGATCTAAAGCAGTGGACTTGGCTCTAGATTAGTTGCTGTCAGGAAGTGAGGCGGTTTTATGATTGGATATCTCAATTACAGGGAGACCTGACTTGAGTTAGGATAAAACCACAAATGAGCAGCACTCCCTCATTTAAGCTGAGAAAAAGGGTCAGAGGACCAGAGGGAGGAGATTTGTTTGGTATTTTGGTGGCTGAGAGTAACCTTGTTTTTATCTCATCTTATTACTGATGCAGAGAGTCCTATCTGCTGTTGATGTTCTGTGAGATTATTTATTTCCAAGAGAACAGCACATTCTAACTGTGAGCATCACACCACACGAGTTTCAGGGGCTGCTTTTCTCATTTTTACTCTTAAGTACTCTCCAACCTGGCTATATTCTTCTTCTTTAAAAGTTCTGAGTAATCTAAAAATTAGAGCTATCAAATGGTTACAAGTGAGACAACTTGTTTTTCTTTAATTAGCTTGTATGATTCTGTGTAAAAATGAGGGAAATTGCATTTGTTTACTAGTTTACACAATTTTATTTCATGTAATTTTATATACCTTACATAATTTTATTTCAATGAAACATGCAATTTCTATAAGGATTTTTTTTAAAGTGTTGAACATAGAGCCCATTGCTATTCTCTTAGCTAGTTAGAAGGGCTATCTCTTATACAGAACTATGCTGTCTTCAATTCTACATCGTCTTATTAATAGTTATCTTTTCTTGCTAAATCTTTTTGTTCACCTAATTAGAATTCAGCAATTTTTAGTTAGTTTTTAATTATTGATGAGAGTGTGAATAGAGTGGTAGTTAGCTGCCAAATACTTTCCATTGGAAATCTATTACAATATTTTAATGAAAATAAATTAGCAAAATTAAGGTCATCTGGTCACCCTTCTTCTGTTTATTCCATGAAAGTAAGACATCAATAATTGGTAAATGCTATATTAAATTACAGGTTAAATTCATTCATTTCCTGATGTGTTAGGCACATTGGAGACACAATGGTGCACAAGTCAGATGATCACTGCCATCTTCCCTTAGGACGACAGATAACAAAGAAAACATAATGGTATTTAACAATACATCTCTGATGCCACTGCTATCCCATAATCCTAACAGCCGCTTTCCACTTTCTTCTTAGCATTTATCATGACCTGGTGAATATGTATTTATTTGGCTAAAATCTTTCTCCCTCCACCAGGATGAAAATTTCCTGAGAATGATACTTAGTCTCTTTTCTTCATTGATGTATCTCCAGCATTTTGAGCGTGAACACTTAGCAAGGACATCATGTGAGGGCTGCTTCGGCTGCTGTGTGGAGGAGTGAATTTTAGGGCGATGGGTGAATTATATCAACAGCTATGAAGCTATGGTAGTATCTAGACCTACGTTGTCCAATCAGTGTTACTATTTAAATTTGTTAAAATGAAATAAAATGTGTTCAGTTGCTATGTGTAGTAACTGACTACCATACCGGACACACTAATATACAACTTTCCATCACTGCAGAAAGTTCTATTACTAGTTTTAGATAATAGATTATCTTTCCTTACAAGAGATTGGCAACAATAGGGGACAAGTGAAGTGGACAGATTTAGAAACAGAATTGGTAGGATTTCTTGATGGCTTGAATATTGAATTAAACATGCAGATCAAGGATAACTGCTAGGTTTATAATGTGAGATATTGGAGGTGGTATTTCTAGAGATGGGAAGTACTTAAAAGGCAAACTAGATTGGTTGGAAGAAATCAGTTTGGGCCATGTTAAATTTTTAATGCTATGCTAGACCCAGATTGAACTGGCAATAGGTAGCTAGAGGTAGAACTCCTGAGCTACAGAAAAAGTGGCGGCTAGAAGTATAAGTTTGAGAGCTATTAGCTTGCTTCTCACACATTTCCTTTAGTTATCCTCTTTCCCATATCATCAATCTCTATCATTCTCATCAGTTTCAAACATGGTCTAGCATTGTCCATCATTTAAAACAAAGTCAAACAGGAAATATAACTGTTGCCTCGTTATCCTGCTTCATTTGACAGTGAGCTCTCCCACTTGGAGGCTGATGAATTTAGAAAGGTTATGTGATCCATGGCTAGATGGTCATTTACAGCAGGGAAATACTAATAGAATTGAAGGTAGTGATTTAGAAAGTGGGTGTTCAAAATAAAAATTTTAGAGGTGCCAAATGATTACAATTTTCCAGACCAGTGTTAGTTAAGAATTAAAAAATAAAAAGAATAGCCAGGACCAGTTTGGCTCAGTGGATAGAGCGTCGGCTTGTGGACTGAAAGGTCCCGGGTTCGATTCCAGGCAAGGGCATGTACCTTGGTTACGGGCACATCCCCAGTAGGGGGTGTGCAAGAGGCAGCTGATCAATGATTCTCTCTCATCGATGTTTCTAACTCTCTATCCCTCTCTCTTCCTCTCTGTGAAAAATCAATAATATATATATATATATATATAATTATAGTTCTATTGTATGGTCAAATTTAGTGTTGGCACCTAGCTGGCATCCTCAGTCTCACAAATACAAAGTCCAATCATATGGGCTGTTGCCCTGCCTTAATGGTTACTTTGTTCTTGGTCAAGCATCAGTTTTAAGGATCATTGACAAACTAGAACATATGCATAGAGCAAAATGACCAGGATGTTATAGGGTGTGGACACTGGGGCATATGTTTATCTTGGAGAAAAGAGAAGACAGAGTATCATAATTCTTCTTTATAAATATTTATGGAATTATTATTGAAGCCATGTATGAAACTTGTTCTGTGTAATAATATCTAATAGTTGTTGAGTATTTACCATTACTCAGGCGTCATCCTAAGAATTTATAGCTCTCTTAATCTCTTTAAAAATCCTACAGAAGTATATTATGTTAGTCTCATCTTAAATAGCCTGAAACCGGTTTGGCTCAGTGGATAGAGCAACATCCTGCGGATTGAAAGGTCCCGGGTTCGATTCCAGTCAAGGGCATGTACCTTGGTTGTGGGCGCATCCCTGGTGGGGGGGGTGCAAGAGGCAGCTGATCAATGACTCTCTCTCATCGATGTTTCTGGCTCTCTGTCCCTCTCTCTTCCTCTCTGTAAAAAATCAATAAAATATCTATTTAAATAAAAGGAAACCAAGTCACAAAATGATTGAATAAATTGTTTTTAGGGACATAATAGGTAGAGAAAGTAGGATTTAACCCACACATTCTGATTTAAACACTTACATTCTTGGCCATTATACTAATCACAATCATTACTTTCAAGCCTTTTGATTTAACATTTAAAAAAAAAAAAACAGTCTCACAGTTAGAACTGTTCAAAGGGAGGAAATGCTCACAAGGTCCAATGTCCTATTTTCAAGGCTAAAAATCAATGTTAGATGACAGATTAAATAAAATGATCTCTAAGTTCTATATTTAATCCAATCAGTCCTTTCTTATCTAGCTACCATCCATCTTAAACCTATAGACTCTCT